CCCTAAAGCCAGAGAAATTTGCAATAACTTACTTCATTGCCGGCCTGTTGATTCTATTTTCGGTACTGACCATCACTGGAGCGAGATATTCAGGGCTTAACCTGATGTCAGGATTCTCACCACTTTTAAATCACTGATTTCATTTCTATGACGGTATTAATTTTTTTCTCTTCTGCGAGTAGATAAGTAAAGATTTCGTCATTGTATCCACGGCATGTGTGGAACCCCACCTGGTTTCTACGACTCTGCTTCTGGGAACTGCCGATAAACTAGCGGAGAATGACACCTGTGAACATTTCAGAGCCTAATGTGAATGGGCTGATTTCTCGATGACGGTCACACCTAGATCTCCCATCTTTCTTAGGGACAGGAACTGAATAGATGCAATTCCTTTGGAGTTTCATTTGCCTTCCAAGTGCTGTGGACATGTTTTGTAGGGCTATGAATGAGCCGACTCTCACGTCCTTAAACAAACCAGAGAGAAACCAAGCCAAAACCGGTTCTTCGTCCAGGCCCTGCAGTGTGTAGCTACCCTTTCGCCACATACATGACAGGTCACCGCCAGTCGCTGGATCACGAGATCTATTTTTTTGCACTCACAAATCACGCTACAATCGTGACTAACTTGACTACACAGCTCACAGTCAAGTCCTTCATCCCAAAACAAACCACGAAACACATCCGATATCGACTGCCTACCGTCTGATACGGTAGCAAAAGTCATGTGCTGACACCCACACACACGCAAACGTCCTACAAATGGGATGCCAGCACAACAACACGACACAACTCAAGAGAGCTTCGCACGTCGCCCAGCTCGGAGCAGAGCCGCTCAGGATTTTTACGGCGTTTCACCCACGGATATCCAGGACTACGTGTGGCTGTTACAACAGCGAAGAAGACACGAAACCTGCATCCGGATTTACAACAGGATTTATCAAACTGAACCTGCAAAACTATAAGTCCCTTCTTGCATATATATCTATTGTAATAATTTTACTCAACAAGCGGACATTGTTAGTGCTCCCTGTTTTCTCGTTCGTATAACTAGTTTTCGGGTTCCGTTAGAGCTGATCGCTATGCTGGTCGCCTCAGACCGGCGTTAACAGAAATTGGAATATATTTCTGAGCAACTTCATTTCTCGGCGATTTCCTCGATGTGGTGTTGAAGGTATGCTGGAAATGAATACGAAATTTCAGTCGCCACCGGTTTTCCAGTTTTTGTGGCTTTCCTAGTTACTCCCTCTATGATAGGCCTTGTTTTAGGCGGAATTCCACACGGATCCCGCTTTGTTGCTCGCAATCAGGTGCTGCTACGTCCGAAAAGCTCATTCCACGCAAGATTGGCCAAAAATTCGGATGTTTGCCTTTCCGGCACCATACCGAGATCTCATTGGTCGAAAGTCTGGACCCAACACTCAATCATGTCCCGGTATTAGCCGAATACCGGTTGCCGATACCGCATCCGGAGCACGTCAGGATTCCCAGAAAGTCATTTCTACTGACGCTTTATATATGGAGCGCTGTAAAAGTGCTCCTGACTTCGTTTTGGGCGTTAATATACCTTGGGCACCTTTGGTGGTTGTTTCTGATGCGAACGCTAGCTTGGGAGGCTCAGATCGAGAACTAAGCCGAGAAAAATACCGTTACTACACCTTGAAACTGCGTTCCGGAGGTCTCACTTGATCGTGTTTTCGTCCTTGTGAGATGGGACTTCACGCATCATTCAGAAACACAGATCCTCGTGGGGTCAGACTTTATCGTGCTGGTTGTCATCTATGGCTTAATTACCATGTCAGTGCGGGGTATCGCTGCGGTTTGTGCTGAAAGCTCGCGTGTGAGAAGTAGATAACAATCAGTGCACAGTTGCACAAATGATTTTCGTTGTCGTCTCAAGGGACATCTGCACCGAATTTTTCGCCGAAGTGTCTTTCGTGCTCATCTGTTCTCACATGGACACTCAGGTCGCCCGATAGATTAGTAACGTGCTTGCACTTGGCTGTCTGTAGGAGTCTCGGAAGCTCTCCGTACAATTGTCTTCGATAGTGTCACTGCAGTAGGGAGCTAGGATCTGACGCTGGATTTCTAGGGCCACAAACAGATGGGTTAGTATCCATGTGGGTAGTATTTAGAGTTGGAGTTAATTGTAAAGCCTAACTACTGCTCCCAAACTTTTAGGGGACGCATGTTACTTCCCAGCCACTCAGACCGGAAAAGAGAGTTTTTTCAGGTACTTTGGGTCATTGAGTAAGAATGCTGGTTTAACACGAAAGGCAATGGCAAAAGGTAGGCTTTTGTTCTAGTTTGCTGCCCATAGCATGTGAATCAGCAGTCTCGCAGTCGAACTATCTCACGTTTATGAACTTGTAAGACGTATACTGACGGCCTGGAGCAGGCCTCCGGCTTTGGAAAATTCATCAGCTGCTCTGGCAGGGATGTTTGTGCAAGGATGTGTTGTTCTATCTTGGCTAACTTGCTGAGTTGTATGAATCTCTTAGGGTTTGTGGAGGCTTTGTGCGTCTGACAACACAGACCGGATTGGTGCGTATATTGCTAATCCTCACCTACGCCCCGTACGTTTTTCAGTTTACGTAAAACAAAGCTCTGAATGCTTTCTGTTTCTCGATCACCGTTTCTTAGCACCAGATGTTAGTTAGTTTGACGAAATTACATTTGTTTTCGCACTCTTTTCATGTTCACTCATTCGTGGCATCAATTTCGCCTGTGGCTTCTTGGTGTGCACTCAGTGTACGAATTTAAGCCGAGTGAAAATGGACTGTTCTTGCTTGTCCGTGCCCTGTAATTTTACCGGGTCAGGCATAATCCACACTTCACCGTAGCCAGATTCCCGGGTACCCCGAAGAATTTATTAGCACCTTATTCGCAATGCTTCATCAACGCTGGCCTCAATGCTGTTCAGGAATTCCAACCATTCGCATCAAAAGTCAGAACATTCTTAGGTACTTGTGAATGTATGAGCTAGAATCTTGTCTCATCATCATATCGTCGTGCGTATTGTTGTGTGTGATAGTAACGTCATGATCCACAAATTTTCGCCATATTACTGTTGAGGTTTCCGATGCGGAACCTTGAGTAACACGGAGGTTTGAAGATCCCGTATATGAAAATGAAGAATTGGGTTCTGTTGGGTACTGTTTACACAAAAGTGAAAAAAAATGTACAACAAACCACATTTGTCCTCGTTCGTGGCGTCAACAACTGCGCAAGTCTATCACTGACTAGCACAGTGCATTGTGTAGGTTCGCATACGGGGGGCGGAGTATTAGAATGATAGTGTGGTATTTAGGCGAGTCACCTGGCACTAATGGTTGTTGTTCCTCCGGTCGGTTACAGGTTGGTCCAATAAGAAAACAGTAATGTTTTGAAGACAAGGTGACCGAAGGATCCAGTTTCTCTATCCTGATAGAATGTGGTTCACACAGAAACATTGCACGCAGACTCCTTCAGCAATAAACCGATACCTCGCCGATGTGAGGGTTTACGGTGGCTTTATCTGATATACGTGTCGCAAGTGTGCAGACGCTCTCTTGAGCTAAATAGGTTTGAACATTGTCTTATTCGCTGCTGTTCCGATGCGAACTACTTTCTCGTTTGGAGAAAACGACATGCAGTGATTCGCTGATACGCTGATATCCCACTTCCTCTGGATTGTTTTCTCTATTATCCCCTTTTATGTCCTATGCCTGCTAGTTGTTGTTGTTTTCTCTTGTTTACCACATCAAGTGCGTGTATCAGCCGTATTAGTTTACTCTCTAGCCTTACTCGGCCTCGACTCCTTGAATAGTGGCTCATATTTCCAACCGTAAAGTTCCTCACAAAGTCTGTAAAACTGACATGATAATCCATGAAGATAGAAGCATCTAATTTGGTCCAGGGTATCGATATTCTGTCGGTGGGAACCCTCATCTCCCCTCTATGTGAGTAACTTATTGCTCCTGACTAGCACTGATTTCCCTAATTTTTATCGGAGTGCCCGTAGGCACCCTCGCCCTCAAGTCAACCATGGTCACAAACCAATCTCATTGAGGTTAGTTTTTGTTAGTGATGTGTACAAAAATGCAGGTCACACGTAGACTGACCCATTTCACTCTCTATTTCGCGCGGGAATCATCTCCGCATCATGGTATTCGACTCAGATCACTTAGCGCAGCCATAGTTTCTCACCGATAATCAATCCAGTTGGTTTGCCTCGTCAGAGAAGAGGGCAGAGAAAAAGCAGGGTTCGACTCAACTAGCTTGTTTGGTAATAACTTCTCAGTTCACATCGATAGCTGAACCAATGCTCTCCGTGTTTCTTGACATCGAAACTGCTTCTGGTGCCGTTGGTAGTGCTATATCGTGTAGATGTCTGACAAACAACGGTGCCCCGGTAACATTTGTTTCCACTTTGAAAGTTTATTTTGCGCACACGTTCAGACATGCTTCATGTCAATTAGGTCCACTGTCCTACCTTCGATTCACTTTTGTTACCCATCGCATTATCAAGGATCTCTCACAGTCTCCAACGTAGTGGTGTGGGATTACTTCCAAGGAAACCACTTTAAATGAAAGAAGTTAGAAATGAAGTTATACAGAAATATGTATATGGGACGTTGCCTCAACGCTGTTTGTCCCAAGGATGAAATAACCGACCTTGTTGCCAAAGTCAGAGCGCCGTTTTGTAGAATTTTCCCCTCATACCGGCGAGATATCGGTTTATTGCTGAAGGATTCTGCGTGCAATGTTTCTGTGTGAACCACATTCCCATCAGGATGAGAAACTGGATCATTCGGTCACCTCGTCTTCAAAACATTACTGTTTTCTTATTGGACCAACCTGTAATCGACGAAATATAAAGTTATGCGAATCATGTTCACTTGTTTGTGGACAAGAATATCACACTTTATGCTAGAATTCGCCTCAGCAACTGCTGGAGGAAAAATGTCATACAGGGATCGACTTCGGAAATTCGGGTGCCTTGGGCGGAAGAGGAGCATTGGCGGGGAGCGAACAGCATTTCTACCCCATGGCCGTAAACTGAGTTCGAACGGCTATATGTGGGTTGTATTACTTCCTCACAAGTTTGTGATTGCTTTTTCTTTTTCGACAGCCTGCACGCGTACGATAGTGCCTTCTATGGATCCGCAGTATATTCGGCATGCCCAGTTCAGTTCTTTGCCGGAGCACGTCACCGAGTACATTGAGAGGGCGGTTCCCCAGCGTGATCACAGACGGGCGGTTTTGGAAATTTTCCAAGTTCCAACTCCACAGGAGGCCGATCTAGAAGGAATATGGTCCGACGATAGACCCCTTCGGGCTTGCTTCCAAGCTCTACGTGGAAGATCTTCAAGTGGTCCCTGTGTAAAATTCTGTACAGATCCGGAGTACCATTTTCTCAAGAAAAGGTGTGTTCTGACTACATTGAGGAGTATTTTACCACCTGCCATATGGCCCCATCTTTGATTGGTTGTTACTCTTGGTTTTCCTAAACCTAGTGGTAGCTAAAATATATAGGTTAATGGGCAAGCTCTGCGAACAGACAAAGAGCCGTCCGATCAATAACCAAGGATTTTATCTATTTGTTCTGGCTGTTGGGATAGGTCTCCAGAGCACCCAGTTTCGGGCACATGCACCTAACGGAATCGGAAAAGGTCCACCTTCTCGTGTCGGCAGTCAGCGGTATCTTTTACTGCCTTAGGGGTCATGTTGATGATCATCGACAAGCAGGTTGCTTTCGCCTACCACGCGGAACTATTGCCGACAACATGGTTTATGCGTTTTGAAAGTGGGCGATAGATTCGCACCATCCGCTAAATCTGAGACAGTTCATGGTATGAAATTCCTTAGGGCCGGACGACAATTTAACTCCACATTTTCTCGATCATTCATTTGGATGGTGTGTTTTTCGTCCAAGGCAGACAGTATGCTACGTATCTCCCATTGTTATCACATTAGCTTAGCTCTTCCTGTTGAATTCACCACGGACGTGCAACGGATTGTTTCTGGGGTGATTCGAAAATACGGCGTAAAGTGCAATCAGAAAGCGCGGTTGGTCTACACAGGATTAAGCGGGTGAACGAGGACTACCAATTGGACTATCTTGTGTATCGCATGGGCCCTCCGGTAGGCAAGATGTCATTAGTGCTCTACCGCACCACGCACCCTACGCTGTTTGGAGCGGGTGAGTACATGATCAAGGTATAGTTTGTCGTGTGAGTGCGCAGCGTGTGAGCTTTCTGGGTGGTACATGAAATGACCTTCGGTCGGGAACCGCTAAACGTCACATGATTTTCTCGCCCATCAGTTTGTTGGAGGCTTTCTCAGTTCAGATGAAATCATAGACCTTTGTTGGATGTGCTGAATGTATGTCTCGAGATGGGTGTATCCAGTGCGGAACTACGGCAACGGATATGAAAGAGTGGTCATGTAACCGTGTGTCCTAATCTCTGCAACCCCCCCAATCGAATACTTGTATGTAGCAGAGTGATATTGCTGTCAATGATGGTGACGGTTCGTCAGCTATCAGCGAAACTGTCGTGGAGGTGGAATGGGTAGACAATCTATTGAGTGTAGATAGAGAAAGTACTACAGGGCTCTAATATGATCACGTATCACGGAGAATAAAGCAAGAGCGAAACTGTAGACTGCTAGAAAAGCTGGAACCTTTACGTTTTGGTGCACGGTGGGCTGAACAACTCAACTAACCGAAGTAAATGGCACACATACTAAACTCTCACACAAATACCAAGGCCTGGATGGCGAACATAGCTACTTCGGGTCTCACTGCAAGAGAGTGAAAAAACGTTCGAAACAGCCATCCGGATTAGCAGGTCAGTCATACAAATTCCTGGGAGAATCTCGTGCTGTGTCAAGCAAAAAATACGAGTGCTTGCAGTTGCAATTATCTGAACCTTGAGGATGGAACAGTGCAAACTGACAGCAAAATAGAGGAGCAACTGCGAAAGTTCTTCCTATATCTGACTAGACAAAGGTGCCTGGTTGATGTTATCTCAAGAGTGTCGTGATGTAAAATTCCGCTATCATAGAAGGCTGTGCCACCCGCAAACTTATTTCCACACTTCACTCCTAATTGCATGTACAAGATAAGGTTGGTGACGAAGACCTGCAGGCACACAGCAGTTATATGACTGGAGGATGGTGACTAACCAATATTTCTTATTCACTCGAGCGTGGTTCAGTGGCTTGCGCAGTAAGACATGCACTTTTTTGTAGAAAAGAAAGGGCTACCATCCTGATGACCGATATAAACGCCTTCATCAGATTTTAATTTTCTGCCGTATAGTTAGAAAGTGGCACGACCACTCTTGAAAAAGGTCCAGGGATGTTCACCAGATGCGTATAACCACCTTGTGTCCCGTAAGAGAAACGTCCAAAACAACTGAATCTGTATAGCCTAGAGTGTTGTTCGAAAAGTAACTGGTGCTTCAGAAATCCCTTAGTTTAGATGGGGGACTAAGTCGACGTGAGTGCCGTAAGCTATAGCAGAAGATGATGTGCAGTGATGCAGTGCGATGGTTGTCGTTCTCTCACAGGGTGACAATCCTGAGAACAAATCAATGAAGCAAAGCCTTCTCCGTGCCGTTGTGGATGAGTTCGCCTAATCCGTCCTATAGGTCAGTGAACATTTTTCTGACTGGTTGTTGCGAACGAACTATGTTAATCTGTTCCAGAGGTTCACTGAATTGTTGGTTATTTCTGTGACAGCTCATACATCTGATTAAGGGTCCGTACTTGTGACTGTCACTGCAGCAGTTTTGGGTACTCAAGGAAATTACTTTCTTCCATAGGTCAACTGCTGAGGTGGGATGATGTGTTTACCCTCGGCAGTTTCCGTGGCAAGCCATTTTAACCGCTGGTGGGATCAAGTGTTTGATCCAACTACGAGGCTGAACTCCCCGTAGGACTTTCTTGGTCCCCCTGGCTTGTCTTTGGATTTATACTTGTTTCTGTCGAGCTGATGAGTTGTGGTACCGTTTGGTACGTGAACAAGGTGTACTGAGGATGCAGTGGAATCGCTGTGCGAGTAAATCCTCAAGGATATTCTGTTTAACCACATTCTGTGTAAATGAATATCAGGGGAACCACACACCTTAAAGCCCAGTAAGCGAGTTAGAACAAATTAGCACTACCAATGCAGAATTAATGCAGTGATGCTCATGTCGACAGTTGGTCATCATATAGGCAGCTTTGACCTAGCTGTTCGATGTTCGAGTGTGCCACTGGGTTCCTTCTCAACTGTTTCGACTACCTACTGGTTCCAGTGGGAGTGGCGAGTTGAAAAACAACTTACACACTTTAAATATTGCGCATAAGTTTCTCCATTCCCCCTTCAGCTTCGTGAGAGCTATTCACCCAAATCACTTTGGTTTTCCACGTGAATTAGTTGTTTTAAGTTAACTCCACAGTAACTCTTCCCTAACCGTAGCTTGTTAACGTGATTGTCGAGTTTCCCTTTGCTCCTTTTCTCTGTGTGTCGTATTCTGCGTGATGGCTAAATTGATTGCGTTGAAAGATACCGTTTCCCGTACTGTCATAAATTGGGTCGGATACCTGATCGCTTCTGCCTTCTTGCGAATATATTCCAGACACTGCCTGAATTTGATGGTTGGATGAGGTCGATAACGCTCAAGTGTAAAAAACAAATTTGAAAAGAATTCACTAACACGGCGTAGTCTGTCCGGTTACATCCCACGATCAATCACGTTTTAGAATATCAGTATACTTATTTCTGAATGGAGATCTTCAAACCATGTGTTGGATAGAACTCTTTCAAGTCCAATTAGAATTAGGCTCCATAGCTGCTCGTTAATGAATAACTGCAATTGTGATGACAACTGCTGTAACTGTGATTTAGGACCCTTGAACTGGAGAAAAGAATATTTCGGCGGCAAAATTGGGCTTATCCCCATAATCGATTATCCTGCGTCAGGTGAACTCCATTTAGTGCCAATCTGGGTCATCTAGATCCGTAACCAGTAAGGCAATAAGAGCTGTAATGTCAGCACCATACTATACGGTATTAACAGCTGTCTTACCGAAATCATCTGACCATCCATCAGATGTGCACCGATTGGAATGGTGCTCCAGCAACTTAGGAATGTGGTTCATGACATCGAGGAACAACTGAAACAAGTATTGGTCCAAAGTGCGCACGCAACGGAGACACCCATTGAAGTAGATACGCACTTGTGGGATATGCGCTTTCCTCTCGAAGAAAGTGAGTTTACTCTCTTTTGTCGTATGACAGTTTGGTTGATATTCAGTCGGTTGATTGACCTGGTCTTGATTTTCTCGATCGTGTGGGACCAGATAACTTTTTTTGCTTGGCATTGTTCGCCGTTCCCTTCTTAAACAATGCAGGGACTCTGAGACGAACCGGTTCTCCTACGGGAAAATCACACTTTACAAATCGGCTTATTGTGATGTTATCAAGACGGCGCGTTTTTGTGTCTTACGAATACACAAGGTATAATTTGTAAATACAGCCAGCCAGTGATTAGAGGTTGTGGGAATAAAAGAAAAAAGTGCCAAAATACCGGGGACTACCGGTCCAAACAATGACATGGTTTCGCCGCTTGATTTGAGACGTTTGCTGACTTAACCATATGCTACTCACTAAGTTTAAGTAACCCAAACCATCTTTCGGATTTTACTCCATTATCTGGTATAACATGTTGGTTTGGGCAGGTAATATCTTTGTGTGTGCTAACGAACTTCCGGCATTTTCAAGGTCAAAGTATATATATATATATATATATATGCATCGCTTGTTGTTGGGTGCATTACAGTTGTGTCCAACGTTTCGTCTTCTCACTATCCTGCTGTACTAGGGGTCGGGATCAGGCAACATAACTGGGGATAGAATATCGTCGCAGTCCGCTCATATTATTGTGTGCTCGCTGCGTTATCGCAACCGCAACAAATTCTTATATTTTTATCTCGTCAACCAAATAGATAGATTTATGGAGTAACTGAATGTTATCGAAGGTCTTGTTCTCCTCGGTAACTTCTAGTTATCTTTTCCTACATCCATATCTTATTTTTCCTTTAAAGGACGGGTGTTTTGAGGTGTAGTTTCTGCTATTTTTCCATGTGTAAACTTTGGAAACAGCAGCTGAAAATAGAAAAAAATGGAGCTAGGGATAGCTCGGTAATCAAGATTTACTGATCGAAGTGTCAGTGGACAGTTCAGCTCGTGAATTCATTTTTTAGGGGATAGCTCCTTCCCGGCACAACTCTTGGTCTACAAACCTGAAAGGAGTGTCCATCTAATCGAATTTTTCACTCTTGATCTGTTTTGAGCTCAATGGCGTTTTCGAATTTGTTTGGTGTTCTAATCAGTTCAGAACGAAATGACTGCATTGGTTAATTGGTTGATCGAGTTTTACTAGGTCAGTGTTCGGTGGCAGTGATATTTTGTTGCCGCGGTAATAGCTTCAGATCAGAAGGAGCAGTCTTACACCTATCCTGGTTCGGCCTTTTGCTTAAATCTGTACTTATTTGAATTCCCAGGTAATAAGGTAATCGTCTAGCCTTTCAGTGCCTAGCTGCCATGTTACCCAAAGTGAGGACGAGGGCTGGGATACTGCCAGGTTGTCCAAGCCTAGACAGTGGAAGTCGAGAGACAGAGGTCGGGTTCGAACCACGGACCTTCCGGTCAGTAAATTAGCCGCTCTAACCCTTGAGCCATCTCGCCCCCGAATTCCTGAGTGACATCATGCCTTTCTACAAGCAGAACACTTCCTTTGATTCTGAAGGGACCGCCTGCAAACGATCTGACAAGCCCATTACACCCAAACTAAGTTGATATTTCACCGGCCAAAGTCGTGTTGCAACCCTGTGATAGCATCTTAATTCCTTGCCTTTACCAACGATGTGTGGTTGATTCTTTTCATGATTACTTATGACCATCATTCCAGTTTTGTTTTTTTTGGTACCGTGAGTAGTACTATTAACTCCGTTTTTTTCCAATGTCCCATGAAGGCCTTCCTAAATGTTTCCAAGACTTCAAGTCCGAATGGGATCAAACGCAGAAACGGTCTGTCTTTAGACGACATGGATTGGGCGGTAACCGCATTTTCAAAGATCCCCTCTTGTTGCGTATGTGCGAGGTCTATTAAAAGCATTATTTCACGGACACTGTGGATCGCTGAATCCTTGTGATCGGTCCAAGGAGGTTTTTACGAAACATGTAACTGACTGATACTAACACAACATCGATGACAATACCGTGGTTCAGCTGTTGCTGTTCATAGCTCTGAAGCCATGAAAGTTCTGCTCGATTTCAATCGTAGCACTCCACCCAACACTGCGTGAAAAAACGATTGAGTGAGGCCACCCGCTTATTTTGAAGCGGACGCCAATTGGTTTTACTATTCCTTTTGCCTACGAATGCAGAGTGTTTGACATTTAGGACTGATGAAGATAATTGAAATGTCAACATCTCGCGTTCTGTTTTGATGAATTGGATGAAGGAAACGTATAATTTGAGTTCTTTTCGGGGATTGCTTTCTGTTTCACTCGTGTTTAACTGCCGTGCGTCCACTTACTATGCTTGTGCGCGTGTGGAAGCAAACCATTGCTGTGTCTTACCATTCTCAGAGCCGTGTGTTCTGTCGTGTCAGTGAATCTGTACACTGACTTGTTTGCAGGGTTGGGGTTTGTGGTATCGTCCGTTCTAATTGCTCGTTCTAAGGTCGAAAAACAACGAAATGGCTTTATTGTAAACGCGGTTCCAGTGTGCATACATTTCTCCTTTCCCCAGGCCGCCGCGTATTTCTGTGGCCTGACTCCATGCAGTCTGACGATGCTGGTGAACTTATGCCTCTGTGGTACATTTTGATGGAAAATTTGGCGCACAACTTTGAGCTTGTCATGCCACCAACCGACTCGCATTTTTCCTATTGGTGCGATTTCGTCCTTCTCCAGCTGGAACAAGTGGTGAGTGTTTCAACACTATCTATCTTTTTCCTATTGGAAACCCAAAGTACGAAGAATGAGTAGCTTTTTCTTATGTTATCTGGATTCGGTCAAGTAAACCAACACACGTCACCCAACAACAAACGTCGTGGTTTGATGAAATTTCTTGTGGAGTTTGAAATGCATCAGTCGTCCTCATAAGCCCCCCTGTAAGATGGATAATCTTATTGTGCTGTTTTTTGAGACCCGGTTTGAAATAGATATCTGGCTGTTTAAACCATGTTACAGTTTTCGGTCTTCACATTACGGAATACACTAGTCCTAGGACAAACTGAGGCACACACACACAAAAGTTATGGTCGTTCGTTTGTTCCACATGTTGCCTTCGTTGAGGATGACAATATGGATGAGCCTATGGGTCTTTTATCCAGGAGCGGTGACACCGGTTTCGAAACGTTACAAGTATGCTCATAATCACAGACGGGTAATGTGTGCTTCGTGCATAGATTCTGTTGGGCAGTGTGCTCGAAGTTGGCTGCATTAAGGCTGTATGACAAGCTCTGTACTTGAAAAAGGCGTGTAGATGTTTGCTAAACTGTGGGAGTAAAATGATTTGTGAGCGAATGTAGCACTGACCTCGACTAAAGTCCCGGTTTACGGCGATTTTTAAGCGCACCGAACACTATGGTAATGAATTTCGTGGACTGTGTGTATATTTTATCAGGAGGTAATCGTTGGAGTTCCAAGCGCTAAAAGGAGGGGGGGCGCTGGGTAGGGTCGCCAAGTTTCCTACTTTTCCAGTGCTTCATTGCCGTCCAACAAACTGGTTTATTCGTTCCTGTGTTTGTTCATTTGTCGGCAAAGGTTTTCTCTCTGAAATAACTGTCCTGTCCTTGGACCTTCTCCGTGGTCGGTCTCTTTTCGTGGGAACTACGATCACCACCTTGTATCTTATCCAATTTTAACCGAAGATCTGCTGCAGGCGTTTTCTGCATGAAGATAACGTGTTTGCTATTCGGAAAAATCTGCAGCTGTTTTGTATTGTATTCAGGCGGACCGTGGTTGATGTTCCATTCGTGACTATGCGGCAATATCTTGAGCGTCTTACTTGATCGCCTCTTAAGGGGCTTGTACTTCGCGTGTAATTACCAGCGAGTTTAACATATATTTCAATTAGTTCTTTCGCTTACACATTGTTGTACTGTTTCGGACTGCATAACGATATAAACTCCTTGGGTAGACTGCCAACATTATCGAGGGACGTGACTGTATTCTTGATTGTCCAAGAGGGAGCGCAAACAGAGGTAGGGTTTGCGGAAGCCTAGGCCAGCTATCTGTTGAGCTGAATTCATCGACGGTGTGTGTACTTACTAAGTAATGGTCATGCATAACGCTACTTCTGCTAGGTCTTTGTTAGTCGCCTTCCACAATGTTACCGGTTTCAGATTGATTGGTTCTTCCAGTACCAGATAGGATCAGTGTTGCTGTATGTATGGGCTAACCTGTCCGGTTTTCCTTTACACCGCATTGGTGCACCTCACAATAACTTTTAGGGAGAGAACAATAGCGTGGCGGGATACGGCGATCATGATCCCTCGGAAACTAGCGTGTTTTCGAGGTCGCTGGTGCTAGCCTGCCAAACGAACCTGGCTCAAGTGCATGACCAACGTGCGACGCGGGATGCGTGATGTTCAGTCAACTTACGTCGCTCGTACCAAGCAGCTGAACGAACCTACCTGTTCATAATTAACATGTGGCACGAGGTCCATGATGATAAGCCAACTTTCATGATAAGGTTTACGTCACTCACACTATGTATTTAAGGTAACGTAGCTAAATGGCGCGACTAACATGTGACGTGGGGTCCATAATGCCCAGTCAACTTGCGAGATGCGTACGACCCATTCTGTTAAGCAACCACCGGTGCAACTGGAGCGAGATGAAATGTTGCATTTTATCAAGCTTTTTGTTGATTACGTATGTTCTGACAGGAAATTGGTTTGTTGGTTTGTTGGTTTCTGGACTGCCTTTTGTTCACAGTGGTATTGGCGCTTTGACATGAATTACAGAAACTGAGCATCCAAAAACCACTGTCACGTCGATGTGGCTGACAACATCCTGATTGCATTGCTTTATAACTCACGCATTTGAGAGGCCATATTCTCCTAGGGCTCTGCGATTACGGTGTTAGTTCCTAGCAAGACGTGATATGTTTGATATTTTGATATTATGCTCCAATGAATACGAGACTTACTTGAGTGTATCTCCTATTGGTTTGTTACCTACGATTCCATCCGCGTAAACCTTCCGGTTGATGATTGTGAGTCTTTTGCTACAAAGCCTGAAAATGCAAAAAAGATGGGAATCTACTCCCTTACTTCACGCGCTCTGCGTGAAGTCAGTCGTTGTGCATCATCAACAGGATTGCGACATCGGAGGAATTCAGCCCACGATTCGTCATTCGTGCCTTTCAGAAACCACAGCCATGTGTGAACTCCTAGCACACTTTGAAGCTTTCACGCTTAGTTAAGACTGTCTTTGAGAGTAGCGCACCTACAGGCTGTGGGGGGGTTCAACAAATTTAAGAAGCAGGTGGCAATTATGGGTGTGTGTACGGAATACTATCAAACGTTGCCGAACGAACCACTTTTAATGGGTAACCACCCAGTGGGATGTCTTAAAATAATGCCAGTGTGAACAGAGCGCACCTCGACGGTTCCTGGATCACAAGAGTTGCTCAACACGATGCGAGAGGAAACCGATGTGGATGTCAGTTCAACAAGCAGAGTTTGGTCTTGAACCCGCATCAGACACATTAATAGTAATCGAATCCGGCATAACACTTGTTTCAGAATGTGACCATTGAGCCTCGTCAGATGATCTGGGTGTTTGGATCTGCGAATTGATTACGAAGTATTGCAGATGAACCAACGGGCGAAGGGATGACCTGCCAAGAAAAGGCTCACGATAGCAAGGGGGTGAACACGTGAAAAAGGAATGAAAGTGAGAAACAACAGCAGCGGTCTTTTTGATTGCTCATTGGGCTGTATGCAACACGTAAGCGGCTGTCGCGCGTTCGAGTCTCGATAGAAATGATCTTTCTTGGCCTCATAACTGCCATCCATCAGGGCGTATGAATAAACAAATAAATAAATAAATACCCTTTACTGTATCGAGATGCATTGATATTGATCGATCCAGTCGACCGAACAGCGCAAAGGATTCAGTCGAGTAAAGTGCACTCTAGCTTGAGGTTACACACAGCTCTCACATAGTGGATACCATTGGACCAGGGTCACCCGAAAAGTACATTTTGGGGAAGTCTGGGTTCATCACGAATGGTTTGATGTATGTGTCCAAACTTGGGTCTTGTACGCATGTTTGGGAGACACAACGTTCATTGATTGAACGAGGGCAACAGTTCTGTAATAGCGCTACCTGTCGCCCATTTTGACATAGAGTGCGGACTTTGGAGCAAGTGTCCTGAATTCAACAATTCTGTTTGTATTTGCATTGCTTAGCAGAAGATTAAATACAGAGAACAAGTTAGAGGATTGACAGCTGAAAGAAAGGCTTGGGTGAGGGACACGCGGTGATGGGTTAATTAATAAAGGAGTGTAGGATTGACTGATGTCTTCCGGGTATCCAAGCTTAAGAAGATTTTTTCCAGCTTGTCCACCCTAAACATTTGACTAAGAAATTGGACCCGTGAGACGAATAGAGGGACATAGTGTTTTTGTTCGTGGGTGCTTCCCCCATGCTCTGACTCCAAATCCTGAACCGCGAGGTAACTCTGTTGGGGGTATTCTTGGGGGACCCGTACCGGGGTCGATGACGGCCTGGAACGGGCTGGCTTGGCCAGAGGTCTCAGAGAGTATGACACGGATTCTTCACTCTTGTTGCTGTTACGCACACTTTGTGTGTTTGAAGACGCATCGGATTCGTGACAAAGTTTGCTGGGCTAGGTAATTCACCTATGGTCACGGCAAAAGTGTATGGCGCTCAGTGTGTGGTTTTTAGGGCCGAACTTTTCTGACCCGCCCGTCATTGGTTGAAGGCAGCACCGCTGCTTTCATAATTATACAGCTCGCACTTTTGTCGCAGGGGACATTGTGATCTAACCTTAAGACCAATTGGTATCCTGATTCTGCACAATACCGTTCTCCATCGGAGTGCTTCTCGTAGGCCCTCCTGGCATGCTTGAACCTTAGGGAACTTATTTCCAGCTGCGGGATAACTTCAGCACTGAAGGCCAACCACTACGACAAGTTGAGGGCTTTAGGTTTTTGTTGTTGGAACTTCATAGAATGATCCTGAGACAGCTTCAACGTGTAAGGTCGCTGCGATCGACACTGGAGTTGACCTGCCGTGTGTCGCTGTGCGCGTATGCTTCGTTTGATCCATATATGAACGCACACAACTTATGTTTTACTTTTTTTCCGTTTCATACAGGATGCTGTCGTTGTTACTCCCACGCCAAAACTATTCGAAGAAATCAAGGATGCCTTGAATGGTTGCCAGCCAATCGGTCAGACACAATCTTCGCGCTTTCTAGCCAATTTTCTCTGCCCACAGTTGTGTTGCAAGACTGATCCATTCCAGCAGGTTCGCCGAACGCTTGCACTCACAGTCATCGGATTAGCGGGTCTTGGTTTAGACGATGCCTACTACTTTTCTGGTTTCGTTTTCACTCTCAGCTCGGACATTCGCCTTCTAATGAGCACGTTGCGTGAACTTATCTTGACAAAAAGGCGAACTTGATAAGACTGCGGTCGGTCACCTTCAGTATGCTCAATCAATCCAGTCAGCTGACTGATGACCAAACTGTGATTTCATTTCCTACCACAATCTTTTTAAAAATTTTTTCTATACCTACTGTTTGGACTTATGCAGTTTTGCTTACTACCAGACATCGGGAGAGAGTGGATGGGCGGAACTAGAGGCCACATAGTACACAGGATAAGTACACGGCCGTCTCCATGCGTTTGGTGCAAATTACATGACTTTTGTTGATGACGTATTTTCGGCTGCGGCGGCATAACCGCCTTCCAATCCTGGTTATGTTGTTATCCCTGTCTACTTCCACCAATCTAAATCGTCTGCAGGTGGTAGCATAGACCGGACCGTTTTAGGTTAGCGTGGGTATACGAAAAAACACCAGCAAAGTATCCATACTTCCTCTGCCAAATACGAATTTTCCATCGCACGCCTCATTTAGAGTCATCTTTTCAAAAACCCAAAGACAGGAGACGATATCTCCACTCGCCTTGTATTCCTTCTGTCATCTGCCGCGCTTAATGCGGTCTACAGGGAAACTCCAACTCTTAACTCGAACTTATTTCCAGCTGCGGGATAACTTCAGCACTGAAGGCCAACCACTACGACAAGTTGAGGGCTTTAGGTTTTTGTTGTTGGAACTTCATAGAATGATCCTGAGACAGCTTCAACGTGTAAGGTCGCTGCGATCGACACTGGAGTTGACCTGCCGTGTGTCGCTGTGCGCGTATGCTTCGTTTGATCCATATATGAACGCACACAACTTATGTTTTACTTTTTTTCCGTTTCATACAGGATGCTGTCGTTGTTACTCCCACGCCAAAACTATTCGAAGAAATCAAGGATGCCTTGAATGGTTGCCAGCCAATCGGTCAGACACAATCTTCGCGCTTTCTAGCCAATTTTCTCTGCCCACAGTTGTGTTGCAAGACTGATCCATTCCAGCAGGTTCGCCGAACGCTTGCACCCACAGTCATCGGATTAGCGGGTCTTGGTTTAGACGATGCCTACTACTTTTCTGGTTTCGTTTTCACTCTCAGCTCGGACATTCGCCTTCTAATGAGCACGTTGCGTGAACTTATCTTGACAAAAAGGCGAACTTGATAAGACTGCGGTCGGTCACCTTCAGTATGCTCAATCAATCCAGTCAGCTGACTGATGACCAAACTGTGATTTCATTTCCTACCACAATCTTTTTAAAAATTTTTTCTATACCTACTGTTTGGACTTATGCAGTTTTGCTTACTACCAGACATCGGGAGAGAGTGGATGGGCGGAACTAGAGGCCACATAGTACACAGGATAAGTACACGGCCGTCTCCATGCGTTTGGTGCAAATTACATGACTTTTGTTGATGACGTATTTTCGGCTGCGGCGGCATAACCGCCTTCCAATCCTGGTTATGTTGTTATCCCTGTCTACTTCCACCAATCTAAATCGTCTGCAGGTGGTAGCATAGACCGGACCGTTTTAGGTTAGCGTGGGTATACGAAAAAACACCAGCAAAGTATCCATACTTCCTCTGCCAAATACGAATTTTCCATCGCACGCCTCATTTAGAGTCATCTTTTCAAAAACCCAAAGACAGGAGACGATATCTCCACTCGCCTTGTATTCCTTCTGTCATCTGCCGCGCTTAATGCGGTCTACAGGGAAACTCCAACTCTTAACTCGTTGGCTTCCGTATCCACCCTGCACTGGCAATGGCAGCCAACAAAAATCTGAAACGGCTTGAAAGTGGCGTGGTCAGGTTTCTCAAATTGTGGCTCAGTATAAAAGTCAACTAAACAGTGCGGAGAGATTTCGGTATCGTACGGCTGTCCTCATTAATTCATGGCATCGGGATGTGTGCGGATACAAGCAGAAGTGTGTGAATTGTATATAGCTTGAGCTTCAACGTTAGCCACAATTAGCGACTGCCCACATAGCGTTCACGTTGGCAGAACTAGCCTTCGGAACAATCGGCAGAAATTCCCGACGGAAGACCGGGGGCTTCGTGCGGACTTACCAACCTACCTGTCGTGTTCAAAAAAATGGGAATCGTTCAGCTGGGGTACACTGTCGACGAAAGTTCACTTTGTAGCTCGAAGGAAACAGGTAGCGTCTGTTGGGATTCGCCGGGGCGAGATGGACCAAGTGGTTAGAGCGCGAATTTACTGACCGGAAGGTCCGTGGTTCGAACCCGACCTCTGCCTCTCCTCTTTCTTTAGGTTTGGGCGACCTGGCAGCATCCCAGCTCTCGTGCCTCCTTCGTGTAGCATGGCAGCCAGGCACCGAAAGGGTGCTGCAGCTGAACGATATTTGTTGGGATTCGCTGACCTAGACGAAAGCAGTGGAAACGCCAGGGCTGCTAGTGAGCAACGGAACGTGTGGTCAGCAGTTTCAGTCCGCAACGGCTAGGCGGTCTTGCACTCGAAGACCTGAGGATGAAAGGTCAGTTTTAACATGCTAGATCACTGGTCTCCCTTCCCTCAGATGGCCTGATGTATCTCGGCTGAAAGTGAAATTGCCTGCGGGCCCGTGAGACAATTATCAGTTGTTCGCACTCATTGTTTACTCTATGATGGCGTCTCATTCCAGGTAGTCCGGTGGCGGCAACCCAGAATAAATATGCCACATTGGAATGGAATTGCGACCCTAATCCAAATGTGTGGGTTATTCCGGTGTCAGTTGGTTCACGGGTCATTAAGATGCTCACCGTGGAAAGTCTCGCGAAAAAATGGCTCTAATAAACCAATTGATTACCTCAAGCAAGTAGACTTTAGGGTCTTGGGACAATTCGGTGGCGTGAGTTGTTTGAATTCCTAGCTAAAGAGCATTTCTCAGTAAGCGCATCACTGCTGACGTACGGTTGGGATCTTGAAATCAATGCAGGGGACTGTATGTGGACGTTGCATTCATAGACATATTATTATATAAAAGTATGTGGATCATGATGGGTTATGGGACGGTCAGCAAGTGTTTCTCTTCTCTGTGTTGGCCTACAAGACGATTGGTGTGAAGAGATTTGCCCTACGCCACATGTTCTCGGAGGAAATAATAAAATTAGTCATCTAAAGGGACATTTATTACTTCTGAAATCCAAGAGCAGTCGCTGTGAACGGGATCTACTGGTTTTTCTTTTATTTATGTAGGATTTTAACAGGTTTTAGAAGGTGCGTTTCATGGCATGCTGTTCATGACTTTGGTTCAGTGGTTAAGGCGCGAACTGACTGACCAGGATGTCCGTGTTCCAAACCTGACATGTGCATCTACACTGCTCGTGTCTAGGTTCGGGAAACCTGGCATTATATCGGCCCTCGTACTTGTTTCGGGTGAAATCACAGCAAGGCACCGAAGGAGTGCTACAGCTGAACTATGATCATTATTTGAAAAGTAACTCATGTTCATCAAGCGCAGAAGATTATCTCTGCAGGGAATGTCGGAAATTTGAGTACCCTACAATGATCCTCATCTAGCGTTATTCTCACCAAATCTGGTAATGTATTCCAATAAGCACCATATTTGAACTGAATGTATCGCTTTAACGTGGATGCCGGTCTTTTAGTTCAAATACGCGATTTCTGGAAGAATGCTATTTTTCTGAATATCGGTTACATGTTAATTCTTTCTGAAGTATGACAGGTCGCCACAATTCCCCTCCATCTGACACTTGGAGAGCACAAGTAGCATTAATTGAAAGCTCATTTCGGCCTGGCTCAGGGCTACGACCTGCGTACCGTCCTGCGACCTGTACCGTCACGAAGAGACTGGACCTTACCGTGGTGTGACGGTTTGCGCATCTCAGCGATCCATTGAGCTATACTGGAGAGTGTCCCGCGACACACAGAGTCTCTCATACCGGGTTGGTCAATGGTTAGAGGTCTGACGAACACAGTCTCCTGGCCCTCCAGGTTGGGGGTTGGAACATGTGGCGACTTGTTCCGTAGAAATGGTAATACATTTGCATTTCCCGCCAAAACCGCTGCCTTGCGGTTAGGCTTTTGAGCCAAAGGCTTTGGTTGAGGACCCTGATCGTCCTCCTGTCTAGGTGTGGGCGCCCTGGCAGTATCCCAACCCACGTACAACTGTACGGCAGTGAAGCATTGGTGTTGAACACTGATATCATGCTGTCGACGATGATGATGATGATGATGATGACGACCTGCGTATTCCATCGGTTTTCTCTGGACAGGAATTAATTTCACATTCTAGTACTCAGCTAAAAAAAATCCGTTTCAGGGGCCTCAATATTCGGAAATCGGCGCTCTTCGTGGTCTCTCTCCATCTCCGTAGAACTTTGTGTGTGACTTCCCCGATCACCTTTATCAGGTCGGCCATGTTTTTTAAAGAAAGACTCACCCTTAATCCCATCCCGGTCTTTGGATCTTCCCTAGCAGGTATAGGCTCGATTTCATCGGGTTCTGTTTTTACACCATCAACCGCGAATGAGTGCTCATGATAAGTAACGGTGGTCGCGAAATGTTCTGCCTTCTCTTTCAGGCATGTGTCTTGTCCCATAACGCTTTTATACAATCAGTCAGCCACTCCTGAGTTGTTTTATACGGGAACACCATCAGCCATTACGTCTGGTAGTTCATCAAGCGCTTGAGTAAACAGAGATTTCACTTAAAGCCCTGAACACGAATCGGAAGCACGGCAACTGAGGTCTCGAAAACGGTACGACCAAAATCATCTGGTAGCTAAACTTATTCAATTCACTTGTCACCGTAATGGTGAACAATCTAAATTTGCTCAAAATGGCAGACAGAATTCCGACAGAATCTTCCAGTAATCTTCGGATGAACCTTAGTTAATAGCTAATTTGTGCTTTGTAGGGGAGCTTCGGTGAACTCCGTGATTCAGATGAGGACTTAATGCTGGAAGGTCTGTGGCCCGAACCCGCTTCCAAAATGTTGGCTATTTCTGTTTAGACTTGAGCAACTTGAGAGTAGCTCAGTCCCCTCGTTTCCTTCTGGTGGCCGCGCAAAACTGTTGCAAGTGAACCGGAAAACATTGGATATATCAAACACCATGCCAACTGATATAGGAGGCGAAACTGCACTCAGATGAACAGTAGCAGTAACGGTGGGTTTATTATATCCTCTAGTTAAGATGAAGTTGGCTTGCAGAATGAATCGACTTTGAAAATTATGTGGGATTTATTGCTCAGGTTGAACGCAAATTAGTTATTCCAACTTATGAACCCAGAGAATAGAAAACCCGGTAGTGGGATATTGAAGAGCTCCAGCAACTATTTGAGTAGGGCGTTCTGTCCATAAAATCATAGTTCTTCAATAATCTTGAGACGTAAAGCATACTTACATTCTAATGCTCCTTAGGAGAAAGAAAGTCCCCTGTGAAGTCATAAAATTTTAGTCTCACCTAACCTCAACCTTTCCCACAAAACAAGCTAACATTTTCACTATCCTAAGCACATAAACGATACATTGCTATGCTTTCGATGACTGTCACTCTATTTTTTGCCGATTTCGGGTCGTGCTGCACCATTTTCCGTGCAAAGGATGTTTTTTGGGAGGTAGCGTTTTAAACATAACCCCAGTCATAAACCTTTAGAATACTTAACGTCCTACGTAAGCATTGGTCGGCGTTTTCATGGAGAACTCTCATAGCCCACGCACAACTTCGTATCTACTAAATGTTGCATGATATGAATCATCTCAAATAGGATATCTCATGACAAAATTTGGAAGTAAAGTGTACTTTGAAGAACAAAAGTAATGGGGATTTGATGATTGAGATGTCATAGTTCTTTCGAATGGTTCCGGAAATCAGAAACACTTTATTGTCACAGGTAAATAGGTGATCGATAGTTTTATCTGGCGTGAGAGGTGATAGGGCTGACTAAGTTAAAAACAAATGAAATTTTACTTAATTACCAAGTCAAAATGACCAAATTAATAACCAACTAACCAATAAACTGCACGTAGCAAATTGCCAAAACAAATTTTTGTTAACTCTGAATGCTGCTTTTGAAACAGAGATCACGTGGATAAACTGAAGGTGATAAACTGAGAAGTTAAAAACCAGTTGGTTATCTTATAAGTTTATTTGAATACCACAAAGGTGAATTGTAAGGTATCGCACAGATATTTTTTCATATTTTCTTGCTGACAAGGTGCGGCCGTCATCGACTTACACATGTAGAAATACGTTGCACGAAGTTACCAAAATATTTTTGTACCGTTTTTAGTTCCAGAAAAATATGTGGATTGCACGGAGCCGATCTGTCGGGGGGTTTTAGCGGGCGGAGCTCCGATAATTACAAAGAAAACCGGCGCCATTATGTGAATTAATAAGCTTGCCAAGGGTTGCAATGTTTTTCTGTGTGATCAGCGTGGATAGCGTCATAGATTAGTATTTTCCAAGTGGATGCGCTGCGTCGCAAAATCTGCATAACTCAAGCCTCTTGAGCTATCATTCTCATGTTTAGCGCCATTGCGTTGTTGGGGGGTTATGTACACAAGCGCCTGCAACGATATACAGTGAGAGAGGTAGGTGGATCTAAACTTTTTACTACCTTGACCGGATCAAGTGAAGGATTGCACGGAAAACATTACTTTTCATGGTCTCTGTGTTCTATTTTGTTAAAAACGGAAAATGTCAAAGTTTATGCTGATCATCGCTCTTTCGTTCGTTCGGTTTTATTTCACCTTTCTTCAGTTACAGCCAGCTCACCTGAACAGGCCGCCTTCAAACTATTTGTGCAAGGAATCAGAGAAAATCATTTTTCGCCTCCAGTGCTTAAATTTTCACATGTGGACTTGATTCAACTGTTGGTGGGTGCGCCACAAAATCGCGATTGTCCCTGCATTGTAAGCTTACACAACAGATGTCTATTTCATGAGAAAAGTTGTGACTTCGACCTCAAAAGTTTGGAATTACGATGGCCTGCTTTGCCGACTCTCGGTTGCCAGGTGAAGTCAACGCATGTCAGATCATATCAGCGGATTCATCGACCGAATCTAAGTTCGATACCTTGGCGGCCAAAGCCTGTATCAGCTATAAATAGAGCCAAAGGAACAATCGAATGCAACAGATCCAGTTGATACATGCGAAAGGGATATGTGGCCCAAATACTTGCATGAGCAACTGCAAAAGTGTACACATTTCCGCATGACAATTCAAGTGTTTTTGAGGACGTGTTGCACATGCAAATTTACTACTCAGAGAAATGAGTTTTTACGACATTTTTGTGTTCACAGCGATTTCGACCCAGTTGGATTAACATGAGTCCTTGGGATAAATTTGCCAGGGGGCACCAGTTTTCCAAAATTTAATATCTCGTCCAAACGAATTCCTGTGTCATCGACCTAGGATGCGTTCCATGCATGTCGCACCTGGAATTCTAATGAATTCGTTGTCGAAACCGGATGATCTAACTATGTAGGGGTTCCATACGTGTGCGCACGATATATCTCTGGTGAAATGGTATGGGCTGATTTAGAAAGTTTTCCCATCAGTGAATGTTCATGGCAAAGAAGGAATATCTGTAGTGTAACTTTGAGTGCTTCCAGTCTGGATAGTTTCGGTGAGCTGGCACCGTTAGCCCAAACAAACTACTCGTGTCGAACGTCTAAATCCAGAAATACAGCAGCCTTTCTCGTTCGATGAGTCGGGCACACCAATCACATCGCTCAAGTGTGAACGCATTCGCCTGTTCAGACGTGATCATTCAGATGCGTCCAACGTGCGTTGGTGGATTAGTGGTTACACGCTCGCCTCGCATGTCAGGTGTCCGGGGTTCAAATCCCGACACGGCCAATGGATATGCACTGCTGGTGAGCTCTAATAAGAGCGAAACTCGAGTCCAGTGCTTCCCTTTGGTGTGGACTCACCGGAATAATTACGCCAGAACAGGAACACAACCGTTCAAACGAGAGTTGTGTGACTATGAGCAAAATACCTATCCCGCAAAACCCCAAAATTGCAACCAAAAAGCTGCCCAGTCGGTTTTAAGCGTGTGCCACGCTACCTGACTGGCGAGTCAATCGATTGTCACAACCAGGACAGTTACTGGGTCGTCGTTCGATGAGTCGGGCATTTACCTCATAATCAGCAGTAATTTGTGCAGGACCATATATTTGCTATGGAATCCCACTAACAGAAAATAGATCCGTCGAGGAAAGAAAATCATTTCAATCATAGCTATCTGCGTAATCGTAACCTACCTGACCCCAGAAGCATCGGCTCTGTGTCCTCTAATTCTGGTTTATGCAGCTTATGAAGAGAACCAATCACATATTCTTTCCTTCAGCAAAGAGAGATCTAGTAGAGTAAGAGGTAATCGGAAATTCTCTCCTTCAGCTCTTCAGTATGTGGTAAATATTTCTCGTGGAATACACCAGATATTTGCCACCTAATAATGATGATCAGACACCACCAAGAATCACTTCATGTGTAAATCTGTCGTAAGGTAAATTTCACGGAAGTGCAGAAAATAACCTCAACGACGAGTAAGCAGTCCATTAAACTAAGGCTTTATATTTGGTTGTATGGTAAGGTCAGTCGTAGGAAACAAATAGAAATTTGGAGAATGTAGGGAGAAATCTCTAATCTTGTCCAAAGTACGAAGATCCTGGCATTCGTCATCACCCACTCACAACCAGTTAGCTTTTTCACAAGTCTCCACAACTACCGTACAATCGGAGGTCGGACTAGTTTTGAACGAAAAAATCACCACTGGTCACTTTCCAATTCGGTTGGTGCACCAGTTTCTCGAGGATTGAATTGTTCCGTTTCTGATGGGCTCTGAGAGTAAGCGAATTAAAAAGCTTCCCAACCCAATTAATCTGCCCAGACATCTTCGTTCTCTAACCAGCTAACCAGTGGGGTGGCTGGTTTGCTTCTTGGGTGAAGAAAACTGGGTGTTCTCTTATAATCCTCAGACGGGAGCTCGTAAGAGGAAGCATGTTGGCTTCCATGATGCTCGTGCTATTGCTGGATAATTCTTTGTAAGTTTGGAAGAATTTATTTCGGAATACTAATTACTCTTCATTATCAAGTCTGTCTTCCAACTGCTTACGTTGCAATGCACTCACAGTGGACCTATTTAGTGACAAAGGCGTAAGTTGCAAATATACTGCCACCGAATTTACAATGTATTTTTTTACAAGGGCTATCCATTTGGTCTGGTTCACGTTGGAGAGCAGCAATTTCGGATTTTATTCGATACGGGGGGCTTTACAAGGTGGCTTCTATCCAGTATGCTGCCAACATCTTGTCACCCAACCAAGCAAAGATATGATGTAACATCAAAAACTTGCCACTCAAGTGGACTAACCTATACTTTTTCTTATCTTGATGGTGTGCAAACTGGCAACGTCGTGACAGATAACCTTGTGGTAAGTGTGCCCATGACAATGATGTTACTTCGCAGCTCGGAGGACATCTCATTCCGGAATTTCTGTTTGTTGAAGTACTGCATTCGACTTGTCAGTCGTCGCCTGGAGAAGAATATGACGGATTATTTGGGATGCGCAAACCGCCTGGTGATAGTCGAACAAGAATTTTCGACCCAACGTTGGTAAAGCTTGCTGTACTTGCTGGACTGGCTGACAAAGAAGTGTTTACGTTTCAGTTCTGTGGGTAAGTTCTGAAATCATGCCCCCTAGAAATGTTGACATTATACACTCAGGGTTTATTATTTTTCTAAAGAACTTGCCGGGTAAACTTCTACAGTTAACTCCCTGTGACTGCTTGCGCTGATTTTTTCATCAAATCTTTAGAGCCGCAAAACTTGAAGCCTTCTTAAAACAGAAAAATACTCACAACACCACCTAAAATTCTTTGATTACCGGCAGCCGGTTTTGCCCTTCTAGGGGCTCATAAGTTGGGCACAGTTCCCGTCAAGCGCATGTTCTAAGGGAACTCAAGAGATTCGTTTGAATTTCTCGATAAAGTCAAATTAATGTGCAAATGAGTGTGGTACAGACAGTTACATAGATTTGACCAAAGGACGGTTGATTTTTAGGGCATGTATTGGTTTTGCAAAATCTTTGCCTGCATGTTGTCTTCCGAACAATAGTCGCGTCTTTGCAACTGATTTCCTAGTGAATGAAGTAACAGTATACTCGATGCGATGCACTAATGAATCGTACAAATTTGGGTAAATGATAGTCAGACTCTTCGATTTATGTAAAATTGCCTTCCACCGCTCGAACGTTACCTGATCAGTTTTTGTGCTTGGGACGATTATTGCTGAAATGGGCATATAAACATCCAGACAACGACTCGAATATGACATCAGAATTCTACATAGGCATACTACTTAAATGTGGTCACTTTAAGGGGTACAGTAAGCGTAAAAGTCGCAATTGTTCTCACTGCTCATCGGCGTCAAGAGTACCATTTAACATCTTCTTGCCAGCGGGATTCGAAGTCTTTTTACCTACTTCCATTTGGCTCATTTAGGTTTATTTGGGATAGGACAATGCCAGCAAAAGCAGTGATTATAATGGAACCAGTTTCCAGGGCCCGATAGTTATCAGTTTCCTTGAGGGCGACGGAGAATTTTCAGAAAATATCCTTTGAAAATTCATCAGTTTTCAGGTGACCGTCCAGATTTATAATAATGGGTTTTAAACCTGTAATTATTCACCACAAAGTGCACATTCCGAAAAGCATGAAACCAGTAATATACAGTTGGACATTTTTTAGAAAGTGAATTGGTTTCTTTCTTTTTCAAGGCTTGCTCCACTGCTACACAACGGGATAACATGAATGACGTGACATTTACATACAACTGACATTAGCGCTGGCATTAAAATGTATTTTCATTAAGAAATGTTGGCCAATTAAAAACATCATTATCACTGGCCTGTGTAAAGCCAGACTATTTTGGAATTTCGCCAAACTCGAGCTTACTGCTCCGAGCACCGCTCATTGCGAGAGACGTACTTGGAACCCAGATACGAACGATTACTTTTGAACCGTTCAGTCATGCAGGCGATTCCATAAATGAAAGCCAAATTATAATGCCCTTTTTTATCAAAAAGAAGTGAACCCGATATTCTGCAAAATTACGTTTCACCGCAAGACGCAATGATAAGACAATGTTGACATGTGTACGCAAAATGAACCCATTCTAAAAATATCCCTAATTGTTTTTCATCGCCGGTCAGGGTTGCTTCGAGTCGGATCGGTCCACGGATGTTGGTGTACCGCCATCCAGCTTGGCTTGAAATCTGGGTCTAATAGTGTGTTTTCTCACCTGAAATTTGTTAGGGCGACAGGAACAAATGGATACTCATGGTTTGAGCAAGGTGTAATGTTATTGGGAAGTCTCCCAGCGGAGTGTTTCAATGAACCGATCGTCTACGTCCAATTACAGGATGCGAAGCAATGGGACATCGTGATTACCAAGTAAGAAATAATATTATTTCCTGTTAGTTTGCGCTCGATTGAATTTCAACGTACCAAATATGCTTCTTCTCATTCTCCATGGAAGTGCACACTTTCACAAATATTTTTGATGTGAATTCACTCGATATAGACATACACTTGATTAGGCTAAAACAAATTGTATCAATAAATACAGACGGAAAAAAATCGTTGAGACACTTTTGCCTGCTTTTTGTTGGTTTTTCTAATAAACTACACCCAAGTCCTACGAAGTATTTTCCTTCCAGACGTGTTTCACTTTATTAGTTTTAGTGCCGCCATCTTCATCACTTTTTAACAGCAAAATCAACGTGCCAACTTAATGCCACAAGGCGTTTGTAAATTAAAAATTCGTTGACCACTCTTTGTGAGTACATTGTACCCTTGGCTAAAGTTATTCCACTGAAAAGTTAAAACTATAGTGTCCTCTGAGCCTTACTCTTTTTCCTGTAAGTGCTTTCCATACTAGAAGGATGCTCGTTTCAGCAGAAAATTCTTAAACAAAAGCAACATACATACTTTTTGGAATACCAAGTGCAAAGTTTTTGGCTTATGCAGCATTCACTGTGATCATGAACTGGAATACAGTTTGTCGACAAAGTTGATCAGTTATCTCAAGGAAGATTCGCGCTTTTTTCCGGACTCCAAGTGGGCTTCTTCAACTACCCTTTTGCCTTGTGAAGCACAAGCATTCAGCCTATAGACGACTGAGCTTAGGAGTCATTAGGATGTGCCTCAGAAATGCGGTGTTACGTGAGTTATCGCCTGTCATACGTGAATAATCTCCTTGTTGTATTCAACGAATTGGTTCCAAGTTTTCTATCGTATAATGTGCGAAACACATGGTGGACTCATTTCTGCCTTCTTTCAAGCAAATACTGTGTTCACTACGCTATGACGAACTGCAAAAAATGAAAAAAAACGTGACGTGTTATTTTGTTACTTGTTTTGTCACCTCATCGCCTATATTGCCAACAAAGTACCAGCATCCTTTGAGGACTCTGTCTTCCGCTGCTTGCAAAGCGTTTATATAATCGCCTAACTGTGGTTTGGAAAACTGGATGTTAAATAAGCAAGAGATGCAACTGCTCCCAGAATGCTCAAAACCTTATGGGCAGATGTATGTTTGTAATAGTTATGAACTGCCTAAGATACTTGTTTTATGTCTTTGGTGATCTCACGTCCCGCCACTCCAATATCTTCATTCATGATATATTTATATCCTCTTCTAGAAGCTCAACATTGTCAAAGCTGACTGGAGGAAAGATGGAGAATCCTCTCCATCGCCATCCGCTATTCGGAGTGTACGAAGCATCAGTTTTTATGAGTTTTAGCAGTTAAATACATATAGTGGGACATGAACTCGTCTTACGAACCATCAGTACAAATAAAAATAAAGCTTCCACATCGACGGGGGTTATGAACGGTCGCGATGAAAAAAGGGTGACAACGGGTTGTTCAGTTCTGGCCAGGTATCACGGTTTAGCTTAGGCTTGTGCGGGCATCGTCATCTCCGAAGACAGATTCGCTGACATGAATGTGTCTGAAACAGGGAAGTTTTCACTGTAGTAGGTTAGCTTTCTCACAGAACAGACTTTTGCCTCAGCCAATATCAATGGTTCCGTAGGCCGTTGGCAAATATATGTTCCTTCTGTTGTCCAAGTGTTATGTTCAACTACGGTTCATTGTACTATAATTTGGCCCCTGATAAGTGAACACTAATCTTCGGGCAAAAATGATGCAAGCTGGGGACAGGTTTGAATATAGCGTTAGTCAAACAGGCAGTTAGGTAGTTCTGGTTTTTTGAAGAGCTACAAACAAGCGTTTCGATACAGCCCTCCAAAATCATTCGTGTAGTTAATATCCGTTGAATTCAAATTCATCAAATTCTATGAAGTCACACGTTTTACTTCACCTCACTCGCAACCGGGATCACACTGAATTTCGGGGGGTCATTATGCGTGCTATGCCGTTTTTTCTCAGGATTGAGTATGATGACCAAATAATCTGTGAACTGTGCAATTGCCTGATCGACACTGGAACCCCAACTACAATAATGCCACATGAAGCAGCCAACCGTATTCTTCGGAATTCTGAAATAAAAGACAACGGCCAAGGCCTATTCCATGTTCTTCACGAAGACTTACCACGAGTCAAAGACTTGAAGATAACAATCGGAGTATACGTGTTCGTACTACCACCAAAAGCATTGCTGATTCGAGTGAGCAGGCGGTTTTGTTTCACCCTAACTGCATGTTTTTTTGCAATTTTTGTTTTACAATTTGGGTAGTACTGGCTCTTTTTTCGGCGCTAACGATACGCTTTCCCCAACTTCAGAAACCAAGGTACAATATTTATGGACTGGCTCATGTGCCTCATTACCAGGAAGACAAATGTATAATTGGAGTATCTGTCCTTCGCAGTTTTGTTTCAATATTTGATGAGAAAGACAGTCAAATGGGTTTTGCTGTAGTCGCTTGTTGACGTGACTTTCAATAAATATTGAAGTACTCACAATTCGACCAGATTCATCCAGACCTTGGGTATGGCTTAAGTTGCAATAACAAACGGGGTGCTTGGAAGGTCAGCCTGTGCTCGGCTGTTTGGTGTTTAGCTGACTAATTTTTGTGTTAATCTGAGGTTTAACTTCGCATAGAGCTAGGTGATGTACATGTTTTAGATGAAATATCACAAGTTTCCCAGACAGTCAAGAGAGACATCAACGTAAGCCAAGGTGTCAGCAAATTTCCGAGAAACGTTGGGGGAAAACGGATACTATCTTGCCCCCTGTAAAAGCGGCTCTGAGGATAATCGGGCCACTGCAACTGCCATATAATTTTTAATCGATTAATCTGACAGAAAACCCCAAAAAAGATGATGAAACGCTACCTTTTCCAGACGTCTGAGAAGCTATCGTGAGGCATGTTGGGAGGAATTTTCCAGAATCCTAATAAAATTTCCACTACCAACTTATAACCGGGTAGGTTTTAGAGGTTTTGGCAAGTCGTACTGTGGTCTGCATCGGTATCAGTCATCAGTCAGAAAGGTCGCTGCTGGAAAAAGTTGGTAATCTCCCTTGTGCGGTGCTGTTAAGTGGTCTGACTAGCAGGAGTTCGATCTTCGTCTTTCATCGTTTGCTTACGTCAACACCTCGTCAAATCCGTGAGTGTTCTGTTATCGTAAGCTACGAGCTGCGGTAACGTTGTGCTCGCAGGAAACTTGAGTGTACACCCGAAGAGACTCAGAGCATCTGTGACTCAATTTAGCTGTCGACTTGGATTTGAATCGGTATGTAGAAGCAAGGGTAAACGGTATTTTACCTACGTTCTAATTATAGAGTGTTTTTCTCGAGGAATCAGTTTCAGAATAACCAAGGTTAGCTTGCCATGTTGTGCCCACAAACAAAGTGCTAATCACGAGCCAAAATAGATTATTTTCGGTTCGCGGTTTGTTCTCAATACCAAGTACGACCAATATGGGACACGTCGTAACGTTTTTGATTACCGTAAGGTATTTGTGTTCTCAGGATTGTAACTGTGATATTATACAATTGGCTGTCCGGGAGTTTCCGTGAAAAAAATGTGCGTAACAGGGCTTTACACTGAGCATAATGTAGGCCTTCCAAAATCCTGCTGTTAACGTGAGCTCTGACAAAATCTTTTCGATCCGGGTAAGCAGATGGCACCCGCCTAGTCTTCGAATTGGAACATATGGCGAGGATCTTCTTAGATAGACCAGCCAGCGTCGCTGCGTTCTTCATAACCATAGAGTAGAAGATCTCAGTCGTGAACATGCAGTTAGTAAACACACCAGCTGCAATCCAAAGGAATGTACTTGTGGTTGCGGAGTGTGCCACAAACTTTGGAAATTGCAGAGCAGGACTTCACCGTGATGGACGAGGTCAGTGGATAACTGGATAGGAAAGGGGAATAACTTTGAGTTTGAAGCTGCATGTATGCGAGGCTGGAATACCAGCCTTAGATGTTACGGCACAACTGTGACGATTTCAGGTTTTTGAGAGCAGTTATCGGGGATTGACAGATGATCCAGTGCACAAGCGAGGTACGGCTATTTTGTATAATGCTAAAAACGACTTTATGAGTTTCCCGGGAGATCACAATGTAAAAATGAATAAAAAAGGGACAAGAATAGTAATTTGAAGCCCAATTGCACAATCCTGCTCCGTGGTTCTATAAGTGGCATGACATTCTGTGAAGTTTGTCTGGCTTTTTTATTTTCCAGGTTGAAAACTTCCACAGTCATCGCGACCAAGAAATGCCGGATCCTGGTGAAACACCGGGATTTCATTTTCGTGACTGACACTATTTTGGGAGTCGCATTTCACATCGTGTAATGCGTTATGCGCCTGGTGCACATACCTTTAACGGTTTTGCTTTATAAGTTGTGACGGCGTACACCACTGCTGAAACATGCCAGTAACGTCTAGACTAGTGTCCAAAATCCGCCCCACCACATCTGCTGGAATTTGGTTGTTGTTGCGGAAAATGTGGAGCCACTATTGTTTGATAACCGAAAACATCTGAGAAAATTCAAGAGAACAGTAGTGAATGTTTGCGGTTCGATATGAGGATGAGAGCTACTGATTTTCGTGTCCAGTGGCCTGTAACCGCTTAGTTCTCATTCGCGAATGCCCAACGCAGTGATAGGCGTTGATCCTTTCATTGAAATTTTACTTCAACGTCTATTCAAAGACCAAAGTCAGCAGGTGAATGATGAAGTAAGAAAAACCACCAAAGACACCTTAAACAACTCATTAGGTAGATGATCCTTGGTTCATATTCAAGAGTCTAAACAGATCAGAGAAGCAATTAAATGAATGAACCATGACTAAGGTTTAACGGAAGGAGAATACAGAACTAGTTTGTCTGATCAGCATTAATTTTAAACCCTCTTGGTATCCTTTTAATAAAAGGATGCCTGTGTGTCAGAGCGGAATTTAGGCCGAGCTACGAGCAGGCGGACTCAAGGATGTCAGTGGAATGAAGGTTAGGGGGCTGCAAATTTTTTTTAGAATTTTGTGTCCACCTGCAATAATGTGGGTCTTTAAATCAGATTCCCGCATGCTCGGCAGTTTCTACGGTCCTGTTGAATCAACGGTCCGGGAGAACTTTAGCCTCTTTTCTAGCCTCAATAATGGTGCGCATTGTCGCGAGTATTTGTGGCGATCAGTCAAGTCCTGCTTTATCATTTTTGGAATAAACTTGTCTATTAGGATATTTGTTTGATGAGGTCATGGATGGAGGTCATGCCACGTTACTGCCAGCTCAACATTCAAGTTGGCAGGTTACCAACCGCCTTACACGCTAGTGAAATGTGACCACTGTTAATATAGACGCATAAGATGGTATCTCTATTCCTGACCTGTTGTTGAGTATCACATTGGTCCTAGAAGACAGTTTGAAAACTGTCAAGCTTTATCTTGAAAATTCACAAGATGAACGTTGTCTTCATTCACTACTTTGAATGAAACTGGAAGGTAGATTTCCAGTGGAATCTCCGTTCAAACAAACTATTTGCTGAATTCTCACCGTGATATGCTCACGCCTGTGACTGAGGTACCAGTTTGCAGCTGGTTTTGTAACCAAAGTCTGCTAAAATAAAATCTAAGGAGACATGGAAATGAGCTAATTTGGTGGAACTACAGTGATTTACGGAGGTGGATTCGCTTGCGTTCTTATTAGGCTGACGACAGTATGACAATTTCCGGTCCTGGAATGCGAAGTTGATTGTCGCTGAGTCCTCTGGGGCAGGATAGGTTTGATCGGTTTGTCATTCTGGGGTTATTACAATAATGATTAGGGTAAATCGAAAACCATGGCAAGTGTCAAAGTAGGTGGTCGTCTTCTGAATAGTTTCCAGCCTCTCGGCAAGTATTGCTTTTAGTCTCCGTCGTAATCATTTGAAGAGGATTAGACAATAGACCAAAATATGATTTTGAAGTAGAACATCGGGTTAACTGAGACTCAGCGACTAAGCTCAGCAGAATACCAGGTCACTAATGGGATACTGAAGAGTTTTCAGCAATATTAGCGAGTGTTGTTAATAAAATTTAATCTATTTGCGAAAAGATCAAACTTAGCATTGAGGACGCAGCCTGCATGTACCTGTTGCTTTTCGAATAATACTGAGTAAATCTGGTTCTTGTGGTCAATAAACTGGTAGCCTGTTAGATTCTTTTGACACATTCTTTCTAACAAAGTCCCTCACGAGTTTCACTGAAGCTAAACCTCGTTTTAGTCCGAAAACGTATCGTTTCTAGTGAATAGTGAGCAGCAACTGTTTGAATTTTCAGCTATTCGCGTGCACATCAGGTTTTTCAAAATGGACTAGATTTATCAAAACATACCCTCCCATGAATCCTGTCGGAAAGTGGCATTTTTAGCAAATGTAGAAATGATGAGAACGTTTTCTGCTTTTTTTAACTACTGGTGAAAGGAAGAAGGTCTTCGCTGCGGAGTTATTAATTAGAAAATGCCAACTGAACAGTTACAGACTATTGGGCAGAGAAGCATCTTGTTTACAAAAATTGAATATCCATCTTCTCCTTGAACGCGTCTTCCTTAACTTTCCTGGATATTCACTGAATATTGCTCAAATACAAGCAAATGTTACAAAGCGACTCCACAAATTCCGCAATAGATATCCCTTTTCAAGAAACGCAACGCGAGTTTACACGAAGGAAACATACTACTTGTATGCCACCCCCATCGGTAGTATCACCGTTACACAGGTGCTCGGCGTGGTACTTGGTTTATTGTATTGGGATGCGTGTCGTAACGTAGATTAGTGTGATAGGTTTTTCATGATGATCATTATGCCAAGGGTAAGGTGGAGGGAAATAGTCAATGGTAAAACAGGGGAAGCAACGGTGATGCGGTTTTAGCGATCATAAGAAAAAAACGTTCATCATCGACGCTTGAAAAAATGCCGGTCACCCTGATGAGGATGTCAACATTCGCGCCGAGGGATAGGAGAAAAATGTAGATGATAATGAAAATCTTAGGGAATCTTTTGTTAGAATGCCCGGAATAAGTGAGGGTTGTGATGGTTGAGGTATGGTTTTTCCATTTGTTTCGACGACAGCAATGTGCATTAGAGCGGTTTTATGAAGATTTCGGCAACGCGATAGCTGCTTGTCATCTTGGTACTCATCGAAACGAGAACGAATGTGCATCTCCAAAAAAGTAAGCTTCGAAATTTTACAAAAATTTTCCATCCCGCCTAATTAACTGCCGGGTTATTTATCTGGATTTCAGTCAACTTGAAATCTCGCAAACTGCATAAACCCATTAGATTTAATTGGAAAATCACTTCAGTTATACATACAATGAAGACGTTCAGGTTTATTTTTAGGTTTGCAAGAGATTCTGCATCACATGAGTTTAATAAAACACTTGAATGCGTTCCAGGGATAAAAATGATGAGACACATCTGAACGATGGACCATTATCGGTCTGACAGACTGAATATGTTTGCTTCACTCCGATAATGATGTCATACCCACCCAACAGCGAACTGAATAGTGACGAAGCGTTTGCAAGTCAATTAACAAGCTCGGAGAACAGATCAAAAGCTTCCTGGTTAAATACCAACTGGTCACATCGTTATATTTGCTGAGGTCAATTGGGCAGCCGGAAATTTTCGGCTTTCCAGTCAGTTTTCTGTTGCTTTCAATCCGTCACGGTACAACATAAAAATCGTGCAATTTATTCTCTTACCAGCCTAAATGTTTTTAGATAAACGCTTCAACTTCAGTGAAATTCTGCTAAAACTTATTGGTTGATGCCATTCTCGGACCATATTCTAAGATTATAATATTGAGTCACTCTGTGAAGCAAAAACAAACGACCATCTACTACAGGAATACAAAAACAATCATGTACGCCAACACAGATCACGTGTTTGTCACGATGACTAAACCTACGAGCTTTAACCTTGACTGGCACGCAAGGGTTTGCTCGTCGTAAAATAAGCGATCTCTGGTAGTTAAGGCTGTGCATGGTAAAGGATTTCGGATTAATATTTTGAATTTCCGACGAGAACATATTTATTTCAGAAACATGAAAGGTTCGAGTCTTATGAAGTGGAGTTTTCCAATATATTAAAATTTCAAAATGTACTCCATGTTGGAGGATCGCTGCATAATTTTGAAAACACTGAAAAATACAAGGTTGACCAAACTACTAGAATTTTTGTAATGGTGTGCCAAAATGCTAGTTCACTCATGTGAATGACGCTTAAAGTTTTCGAATGTTTGATCCAATGATTCGTTTCTGTCAGGTAGATGCTCTTCCTGTTAGGAAGAGCATATCTGTCAGTGCAGGTATGCTTCGTTGTTAGATTTTTATTGATATAAAGACTTGAACTGGAGTACAATATAAGTACTATAAGAATTGTGAAAATATTGCTTACTTGCAAAAGAAGAAGCATCTGGTTGAAGAGCACGGAATACTTCCAGTACGATCTTGATTTCCAAGGATTTGTGGTAAGTGCCAAAAAGTGTCCTTCTAAGAAACACTCAAAAGGTTATCACTCGAGGATTTGGTTGCCATTCCTGATTCACGTTTTTTTGCATCGAATCTTGCACAAGATACTTGTCCCACTGCTCTGAAGGCCCGGGTCTACATAGTGTTCGGAATTTTCCTTAGGATTTTAAAATATTCGGCCTTTTGTTAGGCCTGGATGACTAGTAGGCGCATGTCTATTCTGTGCGAAAAACGGTGTGCTTTAAGCTTGAATAAAGGGAACGGTAAGCTCACAATGTAACTGGCTCCATTCCACTGTTCCATTCCCCTCTTTACATTCATATATTGACGAGATGGAGGGTTTCCTTAGAAGACAACCAGTACGGTAACCAACTGTTCGAATGCATCTTTGTTGTTTGTACTCCACCGAATAACCATGCAAATCCAAGCGCTGATTCCGCGAGGGGGGCAAAGCGCGGTGAGGAGCCCTCAGTTATTATACTATTTCTGCTGATTCACTTAATGGAGATCCTCAGATAATCGCTATAGTACACCGTATTATTCACTACCGAAATCGTGAATGCTCTATGGTCTACGAAGGCTTTCTTCTTCGTAACGTTCAGTAATCAAGCTGGCTCTCGTCCGATAAGCTCACAGTGATCCTGGCAGGCAGCACAATTACCGATGAGCTAATTGGACACGCTAAGTGGAACAGGCGATTATCTCTGTAAAACACCTATATGATTGTACGTGGGCTTGTTGAAACGAGTGTGGCGCGTGCCCCATGTTAAAGGAAACCGAATAATCTGACAGACAGTTCGCATGCGCGAGGTTTAATACAACCTGATGATAACAGCCTAAGCTGAGAAGACGATGTTGGTTTTTGCGTTGTAGCGTGACGCCTAGTCAAAGATGTCTCGTAGCGTGCGTCGGATATATTGCAGGTATATTCCTTAGATGGGAGTTCCACGATTCTTTAAAAAAGACTTGTATGCCACGCTGGACGGTGGTCGTGCGGAAAGCGCGCAACTTAGCCACAGTCGCAGACTGATTAGTTTTGGAAAAAAGCTCATTCCGTCTGTCTTGATGTATCAAGTCAAACGGGCTCACAAAATGTGTCGTGCCTTAATTTGTCAGCTTTTGTGCGGACCTATACCCCTCTATGACGAATCGAACCATCTGTTTACAAAGGCCCCCTAAAATTGCTGAGCTTAGGTTCATCATACATGGAGTGGCTCCAAGTGGGATCTAAACTAACTGATTCGAGTGAAGATCCCGGATGAAAAAGAGAACGAAAATATTTCGTCTATAATTTCTGCGAATAACACATATTTGCATGGCACCATGGTACCCACCAAGTGTCAATGTACCAAAGAGACCAACGATCACTCAGCCAGTCTCTAAGAAACCAGTAACGAAAAAATATCCAGAAATGTGCAAGCGGGAAAAATTCAAGTTATGCTTCATCCATCCGGCGGTTTTATGCGCCCTAGACGGCCTTATGTTGAAAAATGTCAAGATGTCGGGAAATACTATGATAACGCTGCGTATTGGGCGTGCAAATAGGTCGTATATCCAGATGCTGGGTGCCAGTAGCATCAAGCATCAAACGTCATGCGACATGCTGGTAACTAACTGTGGTGTGGCAGAACTTACGGCGGGCTGGAAAAACGAGTTACCAAATAATATTGTGTATTATTATATATATATTCTTATTGTACTATACATAATATACATTATATTATCAAATGTTGTGTATATAATCCAACCATGAGCCAGTTCAAGTTATTCTACTACAAAATGCTGCTCAACCATGGGTCGTCTTTCTTTTATTTGTACCAATTATATTATTGATTTTTATTCATTCGTGACTTTAATTCAACGTACAATGCACCAAAACTGTTCAACAAAATAGGATTCTGGGAATCGCTACTTCATTCTACTTGTGCTTGCTCTGTATGGAATTTTTGGAATCGCCAGAAATGGATGGGTTAAAAAGTTATTCCATCAATTTTGGAAACAAAGACCAAAACACGTTCTAGCTCGTGATTGGATAAATCACCAAAAAAATTAAACTTCTCTAAAAAGAAATCGTGCACCCAATCATCTCAGAGAACCAAGCGTGTATTCATACCAGTGTCAATGAGCGTACAAGCCACTTCCACTGAATCCAGTACGATTAGTTGATTTTCTCCGATTACCACGAAGAACAATGCTAAAACCCCTACTGCTTTTGCTGTCGCTAAGCGATGCAGCGTAAGTCTCTGGTTGATTGTCTTCAGGCCATTTCACCATTTCACGTCACCAAGTTTATACTGCAGAGCATACACGCTGGTTCTACTTAGTGACGAAGCGGTAAGTTATGAAGTCAGAAAATATATTCTTCATAAGGGTTACGCAGTTGGAACATTGCAGATTGGAACGCAGCAATTTATGATCATGTTTGATACGGGGGGCTTTTCCAGATGGCTTGCGTCTACCGTATTACCGATGGGATGTTACAAACGAAAGCTAAAATATGACGTAAACTCATTAACCCGTATTCCACTCGGAAGAACCCATGTTTCTGGTTATTTTGATGGCATACAACGAGGAAACATTGTAACGGATAACCTTGTCGTAAGTGCTTACCCTAAACAGAGCTTTTATTCTGAAGCTTGGAGACTGCCTCATTCCAGGATTTCCGTTTGCCGAAATAGTAGAGACCTCGTGTCAAGTAATGCCTGGAGAATATTTTGATGGAATATTTGGAATGAGAAAATCGCTTCCAGGCGCTGAACATGATGCTTTTCCAGAAACCTTTCTTGACTATGCCACACGATATGGGGTAGCCCAAGAAAAATTGTTTACATTCCGATTTTGCGGGTAGGTATACTAAACACGTTTGATAGATATCAACAGCCATATGTCTATACAATCGTTCCTAGAGCTGTTATATAACGCACTGAAAAAGACCAGGTTACTGATAATCATGCAATGGATTTCTGTATAGTTTTGATTCTAGTCTCTCGTCTGTTATAGTGATCGTTTTTAAGGAATTCTCGAATTGATGACAGTATGTGTTCCGCGTCTTGCAGCCTTCTCGCAATTTTAGTATAACTCCCTAAAAGAAATTTGATTGTGGATATAATCTGGTTTTGTTCCGTGTACACCAAGTAGAATGCACAAAAGTCGTACACAAAGACATGCTCTGCCATCTGTGCCAGTTTTCCGATTCGNGATTTTTTCAAACTTGGAAACATGAGTAAATGTACTCATATGGTCAGGGAGCGTTTGTTTTCAAATCTCATCTAACCCATCTTATGCCATCTCGATAAATTTTGATGCAGTAGTTGTTAGAAAAAGTCATTTCCTCCTCAATGTGAGAACGTTCTGCAAATTATTCAAAGGGCTGTGTTTATAAATGGGGTATAAAATCTTTGGTTGGGTGAACGTGGTCTGAATCTCAGGACTCTTCAAGTAATATCAGAATTCGGGCCCATGCCAAACATATATTGGTTGGAGATATGGGAGTGAATTTGATCGGGCTGGACCTCGGTGTTCAGAAAAGACCCCCTGTAATGCTCAGAAATCGTAAGGTTCGCTCTTCTCGGAACCATAAGGCTTATTGGCGCATTTTCGGCTAGTCATTTTGACATGTTCTTGAGATCATCCGAACTTACCACTGGGATTTTTAGGAAAGAGAAACATTTAAGTTGGGGTTTGTTGTGTATGCCCACCTGCTATTCATGCAGTCCCTAACGTTTCTCCATCTGTTACTTTAATTAAATCCACATTATATAAACTTATTTCTTCCGATAAGAATCCAAAGTTAACCTGGAGTCAAAATTCGCAGCTATCTTAAGGTGATTTCTTCTGAAAAGTGTTATTAGATTTTTTCAGGTGATGGGTTCGCTTTTTAGCCTTTATATATTCGTGAAAACGTTTCTCGGTGGCCGTATGGAATTCCACAATGCAATAAACATATATATTGCGGAATACTCACTTACATACAAATTTGGCTTTTGCAGGAGGCTCATCTCGAACCCAGCTGAATCTCTCGTTTGTGATTTCCTCAGGCAACTGAATGTGCTGCACCAAGCCGCCTTATGTTTCAGTGGCTACGATACTCGAGATATCGCGCTACACGCATATACGTAATGCACTACTCATACGGTTGCTTTCATTTCATCATATGCCCAACAAGTCAGTCAGTAATCTAACGTCATTCCAGATGGAATGCTACAATAAGATCGTCAACGGACAATTAAACTGTCTGAAATGTCTCGTCAACTTCCACATGAAATGAAAAGTCAGGTATTTTTATGCTCACATTACAACTCGGGGAACAAAGTGGTGTACCACATGTAGCGTCAAGATAACTCGTGTTCTGTTCTGAGATATTTGGATTTGCCTAAGACTTCGGTGCGCGACGACAGTGTCTGATCGTTTTGAGACGTTTATCAAGAAACATGCCATTATGCTATGCGACATTCCGTTTATAATTTGACAGTCAAGCTGGCACACGCGGATTATCTTGGTTCGGGCAAGGTGAACTAACGCTTGGAAGAATACCGGCAGAATACCACGAAGGAGCAATTACTTATGTGGCATTATTAGAAGGAAGGCAATGGAACATTCTTATTAATAAGTAATTATTTGTTAAACTCTTCCATTTCGTGTACGGGAATTTTATTGTAAATCTTTTCAACCGATTCGAGGCTTATCTACCCAAATTCAGGAAAGTCATGAACATCAGTTGTGGCCTGATTTAAATGCTATCAAACATAGTCAAATCCAATGTTATGAAAAAAGATCGGTTCGTTTGGAGTTTTTTCTGGTCATGTTTCATGAAAACAATGCACTTTTGGCGGTAAAATGATTTGCGCCGGTGTGCTACAATATACAGCTACAGTAGGAATACCTAACAAAATTATTCAGTTAGACCTCACTTAAATTACCATCACCGAGGACTACAGATCGCAAGTAAATGATGTGATTACTTGCAATAGACGAAATGAGTGTTTTTCATAAATATTTAACTGTTTGTTGGTAGGATGGTTTGGATGGATCATGAACACTATATTTTGTAACCCAATAAGCCTTGAGAATCTAAAACTGTAATTTGCAAATTCCATTTAAATAGAGTCGGGGGTCAGGCATCGTGTGTATGCTTTAAAACCGCATTTATTCAGTGAGTAAAAAAATGCTAGTCTAATGACAGTATGATATTGGTCGTCAGACGTTTTGCTTAACTCATTTGACTAGTCAAGATTTTCGCTGACGTGTTTTGCTCTGTCAAAACAATCAACAGAATGTAAGCCTTTAAATCAGTTTGGACGGGCTTAAAATACGGTCTGTAGTATGTGTCAAAGAGTTGAAAAATGAATAGGTGGTTAGACACAATAAGGGATGCGCTATCAGCAAAACACACAATTCATTGATCAGCCGAAAAGATAATTCGTTTCTATGCTTTCGCGCCAAAAATTCATCACAACTTAGCTGGCCGTTATTATATGCTGCGGTAGTTGCTGGTTAAAATAACACCGGTGTTTTTTCTTGATTTGTACAAGGATGGAATACGGTGGGCAAACACTCTGTGAAATGTGTTTTGCCGTCGTCGACACCGGGGCACCTATCACTACAATACCGTCGGGCGAATTACAACTGCTTCTTCAAAATCCCGAAATCAAAGACGGAGGCCAAGGCCTACTCCACGTACGGCCGGAAGATTTACCACTGGTAAAAGATCTCAAAATAACACTCGGTAGACGTGTTTTTATTATTCCAGCAAAAGATCTTTTGGCTTCAGTGAGTCAACATTTTTTACACTACCTAATCCTGCTTGAAATGAGACTGAGTTCTGAGCATATATCTTGTCAATTTCAGAAGCCCACCTACAGCATCTATGGGCTGAGTTATATTGCCAACTATCAAGGTTTGGAATGGACAATCGGCTTGTCAATACTTCGAAGTTTTCACACAATATTTGATGATCGACTGGGTCAGATAGGCTTTTCTACTGTTAAATGCTAAATTATTTGGATTCGAACGTTGGACTGCGATTTTCTGCGAAATTCCACAAACTTTTCCACAATAAATGTATGCTCAAAATGACAACGTTGAACCTTCGGTTTTTCAAACCAGATGGTATTTAACTATATAATAGTTTCTTCATTAATAGTTAAACTCAAAGCGTTGGAGATGTGTCAAGTAAAGACGTCGTTTAGGTAGCGCTGGAATACTGACATCATGCGAGGTTGGTTAAAAGAGCCTGCCTTTATCCAAGAGGTGATGAGGAGAAAGGATTTTACGCTTTATACTGATATTATTTTCCTGAATGGGGTAAGCGTGGTTGGTAAAGCTCCTAGAGATTTTCCCGATGGGAGCGACTAAACAATTCGGATCACTTGATTGCTTCCTTGCACATGCAACGGGAAATATTGAATGTGGCACGTAGGTCAGCGTTCCACTAAAAGTGGGACAACTCGCTGTTGCAACGGTTGCAAATCGAGAGAAATAATGCCTGGGTAAAACTGTGCCAAAGTGAACTCTGCGTCAACCGAATCTGTCAGATATGCATGCTAGAATAGACAGAGTTCACGCCACTTTCACTGCCTTTTGACGACGTTTAATAACTCTGATGCAGAAAGTTGAATTAAGCAAACGCAAATCAAGTGAATATTGTGCTGCGAGGCCCTACAATTAACATGTACTTGCAAGAAAAAGACAGAATTCACGTCGAGTGTTTTTGAGTGTAATCTTGGTCTTAAACTGAATTCTTAACCAACATATATCGGCAAGATTTTTCGTCACGAAGCCTCCGGCATTTAATTTCACGCGTTTTCTCTTACTCTAATCTTATTATTAGTATACACATTATATAGGATTTTTTATGATGTTAACTTGTAGTCAACCGTACGAAGATCTTCAGTTCGCGCAGTGTTTCCTTAGGATAGAGATTTCACTGAGGAAATATCGATATGGACTTCATTTCATCATATGCCCAACAAGTCAGTCAGTAATCTAACGTCATTCCAGATGGAATGCTACAATAAGATCGTCAACGGACAATTAAACTGTCTGAAATGTCTCGTCAACTTCCACATGAAATGAAAAGTCAGGTATTTTTATGCTCACATTACAACTCGGGGAACAAAGTGGTGTACCACATGTAGCGTCAAGATAACTCGTGTTCTGAGATATTTCAATTGGATTTGCCTAAGACTTCGGTGCGCGACGACAGTGTCTGATCGTTTTGAGACGTTTATCAAGAAACATGCCATTATGCTTTATGACATTCCGTTTATAATTTGACAGTCAAGCTGGCACACGCGGATTATCTTGGTTCGGGCAAGGTGAACTAACGCTTGGAAGAATACCGGCAGAATACCACGAAGGAGCAATTACTTATGTGGCATTATTAGAAGGAAGGCAATGGAACATTCTTATTAATAAGTAATTATTTGTTAAACTCTTCCATTTCGTGTACGGGAATTTTATTGTAAATCTTTTCAACCGATTCGAGGCTTATCTACCCAAATTCAGGAAAGTCATGAACATCAGTTGTGGCCTGATTTAAATGCTATCAAACATAGTCAAATCCAATGTTATGAAAAAAGATCGGTTCGTTTGGAGTTTTTTCTGGTCATGTTTCATGAAAACAATGCACTTTTGGCGGTAAAATGATTTGCGCCGGTGTGCTACAATATACAGCTACAGTAGGAATACCTAACAAAATTATTCAGTTAGACCTCACTTAAATTACCATCACCGAGGACTACAGATCGCAAGTAAATGATGTGATTACTTGCAATAGACGAAATGAGTGTTTTTCATAAATATTTAACTGTTTGTTGGTAGGATGGTTTGGATGGATCATGAACACTATATTTTGTAACCCAATAAGCCTTGAGAATCTAAAACTGTAATTTGCAAATTCCATTTAAATAGAGTCGGGGGTCAGGCATCGTGTGTATGCTTTAAAACCGCATTTATTCAGTGAGTAAAAAAATGCTAGTCTAATGACAGTATGATATTGGTCGTCAGACGTTTTGCTTAACTCAGTTGACTAGTCAAGATTTTCGCTGACGTGTTTTGCTCTGTCAAAACAATCAACAGAATGTAAGCCTTTAAATCAGTTTGGACGGGCTTAAAATACGGTCTGTAGTATGTGTCAAAGAGTTGAAAAATGAATAGGTGGTTAGACACAATAAGGGATGCGCTATCAGCAAAACACACAATTCATTGATCAGCCGAAAAGATAATTCGTTTCTATGCTTTCGCGCCAAAAATTCATCACAACTTAGCTGGCCGTTATTATATGCTGCGGTAGTTGCTGGTTAAAATAACACCGGTGTTTTTTCTTGATTTGTACAAGGATGGAATACGGTGGGCAAACACTCTGTGAAATGTGTTTTGCCGTCGTCGACACCGGGGCACCTATCACTACAATACCGTCGGGCGAATTACAACTGCTTCTTCAAAATCCCGAAATCAAAGACGGAGGCCAAGGCCTACTCCACGTACGGCCGGAAGATTTACCACTGGTAAAAGATCTCAAAATAACACTCGGTAGACGTGTTTTTATTATTCCAGCAAAAGATCTTTTGGCTTCAGTGAGTCAACATTTTTTACACTACCTAATCCTGCTTGAAATGAGACTGAGTTCTGAGCATATATCTTGTCAATTTCAGAAGCCCACCTACAGCATCTATGGGCTGAGTTATATTGCCAACTATCAAGGTTTGGAATGGACAATCGGCTTGTCAATACTTCGAAGTTTTCACACAATATTTGATGATCGACTGGGTCAGATAGGCTTTTCTACTGTTAAATGCTAAATTATTTGGATTCGAACGTTGGACTGCGATTTTCTGCGAAATTCCACAAACTTTTCCACAATAAATGTATGCTCAAAATGACAACGTTGAACCTTCGGTTTTTCAAACCAGATGGTATTTAACTATATAATAGTTTCTTCATTAATAGTTAAACTCAAAGCGTTGGAGATGTGTCAAGTAAAGACGTCGTTTAGGTAGCGCTGGAATACTGACATCATGCGAGGTTGGTTAAAAGAGCCTGCCTTTATCCAAGAGGTGATGAGGAGAAAGGATTTTACGCTTTATATTGATATTATTTTCCTGAATAGGGTAAGCGTGGTTGGTAAAGCTCCTAGAGATTTTCCCGATGGGAGCGACTAAACAATTCGGATCACTTGATTGCTTCCTTGCACATGCAACGGGAAATATTGAATGTGGCACGTAGGTCAGCGTTCCACTAAAAGTGGGACAACTCGCTGTTGCAACGGTTGCAAATCGAGAGAAATAATGCCTGGGTAAAACTGTGCCAAAGTGAACTCTGCGTCAACCGAATCTGTCAGATATGCATGCTAGAATAAACAGAGTTCACGCCACTTTCACTGCCTTTTGACGACGTTTAATAACTCTGATGCAGAAAGTTGAATTAAGCAAACGCAAATCAAGTGAATATTGTGCTGCGAGGCCCTACAATTAACATGTACTTGCAAGAAAAAGACAGAATTCACGTCGAGTGTTTTTGAGTGTAATCTTGGTCTTAAACTGAATTCGTCACGAAGCCTCCGGCATTTAATTTCACGCGTTTTCTCTTACTCTAATCTTATTATTAGTATACACATTATATAGGATTTTTTATGATGTTAACTTGTAGTCAACCGTACGAAGATCTTCAGTTCGCGCAGTGTTTCCTTAGGATAGAGATTTCACTGAGGAAATATCGATATGGACCGTAATGGCAAAAACGAAAAGCTTTTGCGCGTTTTGTGAATTTTTCTGTTCAGCTAATATTCCAAAGTATTTTAGTGTTCTTTCCACATCATGTGTGCACTATAATCGGACTGGTTCGGATGTATAAACTACAGTGCACTCCAAAATTTTTCGTCGGTGTACGATAAATGTTCATGCTTTGAGGTAGAAACTATTGGAACCCATAGTGAAGTATTGCACCAAGTATTTAGACATCTGCTAATCATGCATCAAATGTTCACGCCGCTAAACGTGTTGTCACGGTAGGACAAACACGTTTTTTCCACAGAAATGTGCCAAAAAAGTTGGTGCGGTACGGAACGCTTCCAGAGGATTGATTGCTATCCAAAAAGTTTCTGGCAAACAATTGTTAGCAAAATCAGGAACTAATGAATTGGTACCAGCTAAGTGTAGTAAAAGTTTGATACAGTGATCGGGTGATAGAACTTTGCACGAAGCCACTTACGCCAAGTGAATATACAGTGCATTTTAATGTGGGCTACCAAAAGTCAGGGTTTGTTCAAGAACACATTTCACATTTCAGCGTAATCATCTCAGAGTATGTTCCGAGTTCTTTTCCATTGTTTTTCGCTCGTCAGTTTTCCCTAATTTGCTCGCCTCTTCCGGAACACATGACTGGAATATATGTAGGTAGCAAATGAAATACGACGAATAGGTCACAAATCCTGGTGACATTCAGCAAGCCACAGTAACTTTCGCGAAGTTTGCTGGTGCATGACATAGATAGTATGTGTACGCTTCTTGGATCTTCGTACTTTGTCAATCTCGGAAATTTCGGCAGATCAAATGGCGCTCAGAACTGCTATAATGGGACCAAATAAAGCCGTTTTAGGACCAAAGTTTCTCGTTGAAGATCGTCCCTCATTGTAATGCTGATTCCCTCAAAAAATATCAAGGCTTAATTTGTTGAGAATGTGTTTATTCTGACGTTTGTTGAGCTGCAGGACGTGTAGTCGCAGACAATGAGGTTATTGATTTTTGTCTTGCGCCGATTAACTTCATTGGTTAAGAGCACGGTAGGCCTGAGCTGGCATCTAAATAAACCATTAAAAGAAATAAAGGAGGTTGTTAGTCGTGAGCTAAGTGTTCGTAGCAGCTTCACTGAGCTGTATGTAACATCTCGCCCCGGATGTTGATGCGTTTTTAGCGTAGGTGAATCCGATTATTTTTCATTCCGTAGGAAGGCCCATGTGCTGGTCAGTATCGGATCAGTTTCCTGCGCTGGGTTACACAAAATACCTGTTTTATATGGAATTTTTATTATAAAGTCGAAACACAGCGTAGCGAAATAAACTGTTCTAATCCGACGTCTTCTTTGCCGTGGGTGATCTGCAGAAGTGTCGCCTAAATGGCGCCTAATCGTTTCAACATTGTTGGAGCTAATGTCGGCCCGAAACTACCACACGTGCTTTCTCTGAAACCGATTGCTTAACTGCTATCACCTTTATTCTTAAGCCGGAAGACACTGATTAGCCAGTAGAAAAGGTAACTTAACAGCTGCTGGTTGTCTTTAAGAAATATTATGATAGCTGTATCAGATAGAATTTGAAGGAAAGCAAAACTGCCGTTATTAAGACCTGAATTTGACAAATAATTTGGGAAATCTTGGTTTGCGATATTCTGTATCTGTGTTGTGACACCTGTAAATACGAATTAAACTGGTCCTTACAGGTTATTCCTTTTGTAACGTCCAGGTGCCGCGCAAATGTAGGACAAAGTAGCAGATTCCTAAGGAAGTCTCGTGATTTCAGGTTCGATAGTTATATAGGTCGTATGCAATTCGGATGACGTTCAACTGGAAGATTACACAAGCAGCTTACTGATGGACGTGATTGCAAACTATGTTGAAAATAAGCACTTTGATCTGCGAGATGGTACAGGCAAGCCGACCTCGAAACACATTGAAAATCAATCTTGACAAGCATCTAGATGCGAATCATTAAACAACACACCCAGCACTGACTAAAGTTTCATTACACTCAGGTTTATTTTCATTCGCCGTTTTCAACTTAACCTTTTCCAACATCGTGCTAACGGATTACGGTTTGTCTTTGAATCCCTTCAGCTTTCGCTGAAAAGCTATTGCTCGGAGTGAGAAATTGACCAAAGGCCAAGTCGTAAAAATCGTTGCTCAAGCATATATTTCCTTTATTTCTGAGAGCATCGGAAGAGACCATTTTTGTACACTTGGCGCAAAGCATCAAGCGTTTTTTGAATGAGGAGTTTTGGTTGCTGTCAGGCGAATCTTCAACAAATGTTATACATTAAAGCCAGAAAATGCTGAGCCATATTGGAGCAGACGACCATTTGACCACGATGGTGCTATAAATTATGCCGATGGCGAATAGAAACAGAATTCCTGCCGGCCAAATTAATGGAACAATTTTTAAGTTTGAAGGATACTCCATTTAGTGAAATATACTTTTTAAAATATCGCAATCAGCTGGTCCCGACTTATGATTTTACTGTTCTTGTCGACAGACATATGAAGACAATAAGGTCCCTATTTCAGGCACCAAGCGTGTCCGCAGAGATAGTGCTGTTTTGGTCTAACGAAGGATGGGTTGAAGAGTTGCCAGGTATAATCAACAAGCGGTCAAAAAACTTTGGAAACTAAACGGTATGGCGGTGCTCAAAGAGCAAATGCTGTGCACAAATGCTCCGATAGTCCAACAGCTGTGTCATGCTTGTTTGCTCTTGAGTCAATGTTGAAATAAATATCAGCCTCAAATGCTCATAAAAAGGGACTAAACAGGATTAATAACCGCTTTGGAGGTGTGGTGTCTAGGTAGATGTCATTACTTAATTTCCGCTCTGATTATGCTTTTACATGCGATTTAGTTGTATTTTAATCAGGTCAAACATGCCTATGAGCCAATCTTGCGGCTGGCACTGAAACGTCCATCAATGAATTTCGCAATGATGTCGGGCAATTAAGTTTGGATTTTCGGCCCAGTAGACCCATTGGCTATTTAGTTTTATTGAAGAGAACACCCCAAAATGCAACTGGATTCCACAGCATTCTCTGAAATGTTGGAATAGTCATTTACCACGCAAAGCCGCAGCTAGTAGGGGGACGCATATCCTTTGCGACGATATTCTCGTTGCTTTGCCTCCATCATTTGGTATAATACGGTAGAGATTCCGGGTATTTTCTGCTGAAATGTATGTAAACGAGCTGCCTAGTCAATAATTGATCACGACATATCAAGATTTGCGCTCACACAAGTAATGGGACGATGAAAACAATAAACAAAAGGATACAGCGCAAAATACAGAAACTGAACAATGACTGAAAACGCAAGATGCTATGCGACTATGCATAGCCGCTAACTTGATCGGCGCACATGTAAGTTCTGAACTAAACTTTGTTTATTCATTCTTGGGTTCTAGAAAGCATGCCCCTTTTCAGTTCTCTTCTCACAAGCTTGTTTTTTTGCAGAGAAAGTTTGGTCCACAAGGCAGGGTGTTTTCTACTTGGTGGGAGCGCTCAGCAGAAGCAGATGCAGGGCGACTTTGTCACAATTCCACGCGTGTAGTTGGAGACTTTGAGGGTTATAGTTCTTCGTGCATTTGTCTGAGAAAACATGAAACCTCACCTGAGGTAAGGAACATCAAACAACTTTTATGATCAGTGTGATACCCAAGATAATCTTAAATGAGAGAGAAATTAGCGGACTTGCGGAAACATGTTTATCACGATGCGTTATCGCATTGGAACAACATAAGCATTGCGTGCCGAACAATGTGGCGCACTGGTCTGTGAGATGAAAGACAAATGAAAGACGAGAGTTTTGTTCTCACGTGATATTTGAGCAGAATTTGTTCGCAATGGGAGTTTTGTCAGTCGCACCCATGCGCCGATATCCATTTAAATTAACAAACTCGTCCTCATCATCAATCCGTGTTGCGATTGATATATTGCCACTCATACAACCCACAGTCCGATTTGAATCGTGTGGTTTGACCGTAATAATATATCAAAAGTATTTTTCAGCGTTGCAGTGGAAGCCACGTATAATCTAACTCGCGTCAAGCAAGTAAGCCAGGGTGCGCCATTTGTAGAAGGACCATGTGACCCGGCCGGAGTTCATCGTTCTTCTTTGAAGTCAGAGTGAGAATGTTTCAATTCTGATGTTGAAGCATGTTCATAAGTGTTGATTTATTCTAAAAAAGAGTGCAAGACGTTATCTTACAAATATATTTTTAGAGCATAATGTCTCAAGCGGACTGCATTTTGCTTGCAGTTTTTTTGGCATCCGCTAGAACTGGCTAAGTGCCTGACACTTCCTGTTTGATGTTTATTAGCAGTTTAAAGTGACCGAGAAATCTCCAGCGTAGTTGCATCGGATATTTTGAGTCTGCGGGTCCGAAACTAAGCAGTATCCTTTGCAACCAAAAAACATCCAGCGAAAAACGAATAGGTTGCAGGTGTGCAATATCTCTAGCCACATACGTCATAAAATATTTTCAAGATAATCGTCATAAAATACATTTCGCAAGCTTAAACTACGTTGCAACGAAAATAAGGGCAAACATTTAAGTAAAATGCATTGCGTAAAGTAAAAATTAATGATGTCTCTTCCCCCGTTTTATCAACGTTTGCGGGGAAATCACCACAAATGTTGCAAATTGCACGAGAGAATTTGAAAACCTTCGTGTTGGAGCATAAGTGCGATATGCAGACACTTTACTACAGTAGTAACATGGGATTGAGGTGTCAGAGGATCAACAGTGCACTGAAACGAAATGATTGGCTACAAATTTTTAGACGAGTTCATAACCTGTTCAGAACCGGCCAACAAAAAGTAAGGAGTTTGCTCTTTTTGAAATACTTACTCACAGACGCATGCGGGGATTTGCGTACTTACTCTCGATACCTTAATTGGGATTCAGTAACGACAACCACTAAGTGTTCGTTATTAGGACCAAGTTCAACCGCTTTGTGATGAAGGCACTGTCGTGGAGGTTAGAGGATATCTGCACTAACCCTTGTTTTGACCATCACCGACGAGTTCGATTGAGAGAGCATCCAAGCAGTCGACTGGTCAACAAAATACGCAAAAGATTCTGAATAGGTATTCAGTTTTATCTATCAGGCGTCTTTAATATTATTATGGAACCGCAGTCGACGGTCGATCTTTTCTACTGTCCATGAAACTCCAGGTAACACACGAAATGAAAGTAACTGTACTCTACTCCTATACCACGCAAGAAAGAACATGCCTCATGCAGAACTCTGGCGGATAAACTATATAACATTGTGATGGCTCATGTGAAGATCGCGAGTGAACTGTATGCGCACCAGTGATGCGCAAACTTGGGAAATGTTGGCCGGTACTCTTAGCTTATTTACAACTGAGAAATGCCACTTGCAGTCAGCGGGGCGTAATATATAGTTTCTCCCTACTGTTGAAAAAGGGAGTAGTCAACCTTAAAAGATAGCATGTGAGTTGTTTCCGCGTTCCATTACAGGTTCTCACTAGGTATAATATTGAACGATAGCGGAAGCGGACGCACAATCAATAAAGTAGAACAAAGAAGAGTGGCTAACCGAGCTGCATGAGTACACTATAAGATATTTTGCAGCTTGGATTTGGTGAATTACTAAGCAAAGAATAGCCTCGGTTATCTCACGGATTCGACATACGCCATTCCTTACTATTTGAACGCTGAGTTGACTCGATTGACGCTGGTGTTCATGCCAAGCAGCCTGCATCCACACGGCGAAATCAAACGCCAAAATCTCTCACAAATCAAGTTTGCATAAGGACAATACTAACTACCGATGTTAATTTCAAAGCAAGCAGTTCAGGATAACCATGATGAATAGTATCATTTTTCTTTTGTCCTATAAATATAGAAGATGGAGGACGCCGGTTTAAACAGGTTGCAAAAACGCTCCATGAGATTGGAAGCCGTTGATGTTTGGTGAGCTTCACCCGCGTCCCGAGAGATAGAGAAATAAAGCACTTATAGCGTTTTACCTGAAACGGGTACAACAATACCTTAGCGTGCGCTGAGTGCTTCCACGGTCAGCCGTGTGAGCAAGTCGTGATAAAGACTCGAGATCGAGATTTGTGTCCCCTGTGAAACAAACTTGTTTACGTCCACACAATCGCATAATTCTAGGAAGTCCTTCACCGTTTCAGCACTAATGGTAGGCACGTTTCGATAGCATTCAACGAGCTGTTCAACATATGTGAAACAAACTTGTTTACGTCTACACAACCGCATAATTCTTGGAAGTCCTTCACCGTTTCAGCAATAATGGTAGGCACGCTTCGATAGCATTCAACGAGCTGTTCAACATTTTTAAAACACGGTGGAAAAATTTAAGTGAATGAGCCTCAAATACTTCCTCGAATATATAACACGTAAGCGAACTGGATACAACAACCAAAGGCATACTCAAAATCTGTAGCCACTGATTTTGAGTTTGTTTCTAAGAGAACAGCAGTAACATCGTTTTTCAACTGTAAATCGTGAAAGTGATTACCGACCGGTGGAGAAATATCGTCTTGCGTTTCCCGGTGGTGAATTATTGTACAAGAAATTATCCGCATTTGTGACTGTCGTGGTTGCTGCGTTTGACCAGCAAATGTTGATAATTCATGGCACAAATGTAACGCGGCATTCACACAAGCGATATATTTGCTAAACGCAATTCGACTGGGCTATGTCGCAATCCCTTAAATCAATCATGGAAGTGGAGTTTTGGGAGAAATTTGATGATCTGTCTTTACGTCGTCCTCACGCTCATCAGTACGCGAGGATTTTACAGAAGGTCCTGGTTAGGAGCCCTGCAAGCGGTTTTTAACAGACGAACGCATACAGGTTTAAGACTGTCCTCTCCGTTAGTTGAAGTAATCTAACTCCGTGATTGTGACGCACGTAGAAGACTGGTTGTTGTTATAGTGTAGGTCGCTACTCCCATCATTCGCACTGTAGTCCGTTTCACGGTGCTTTCCAGTGTCCTTCAGTTGTTTGAGTAAGTATTGGTAGAAAGATACACGCCTACAAATTTGGCCTTCACTGAAGGCTCCTGAGTCACGCGTTTTTAAGGAAGAACAATAATAAGCGTAAATACGTTGCCACTGAAGCTCAAGAAATCTATAATTCTCTCATACCATTCACCTGCCGTGTAAAAATGTGGTTAGCCTCATACAACTATTAGATTCGACTCTGGTGGTTTCCAAACCTCTGTCATCATCAGTGTTGTATCTATATAGACCTGTTCGATACGCTTCACATACTCTGACTAAGACCATAATATTTTAAAATAGTTCTGGATATCAGAGGCGGCTGAGCTGTGTGAGTTGACCCGTTGATGACAATCTACTGTCAAGATAATAGTTTGCATCTTTGAACCTCAAGGATTAGGGAAGTTCGTGAAAAATGCCTTCTACATCCATTTAAGGCTTAACATTTTCTTACCAAAGTTGTAACTAAATGCACTTTTCACGACAATGTTTTATACATGAGCCGCATGGCTTCAGATCTTCGTTCTCATTTTTTGCATGACAGATTACGTTTAGGAAATTACATTGAAGTTATTTCAGTCGGCGAGTGGAAAATCCTCCCGTAACTATAAAGACTCGTATATGGACTTGCTCAGTTGCTCGACTTGTTCAGTGGGTTTTTGTTGACTTCACTATGAGGCAAATACAGAGGCATCTCTTAAAGCTCAGGGTTCACATATTAGCATCGCTCGCTTTTGCGGCTTAATGTGCTCCTCAGTATGAATTAAAACTTCCTCCGTGAATGTCATTCCTGCCTATCTCAGAATGGAAAAGCAGTGTTAATTAAATATAAGCGTAATGCGATTCATGCGCACGGTGTTAAGCTAAATCGTTCTCTGCTGGGTAATATTAAGTAGGATTTGGCCACTGACGAAGCCACTGACATTTTGTAATTTTACTTCACTTTGAATGAACCAAAAGCACTTATTCAGGAGAACTCCCCTTGGCTTAACTTAATCCAGTAGGTGTCTGTTTTACACCGCGTTTTTCCATTTTAAATTCAAGACTGTGAGAAACTGAGAAATCCATGTCTGTTTTCTTGGACAAAGTTGTTGACTACTCCTTACTATCAAATCAACCCCATCAACGACTACTGTGAGCTGCATGACGCCTACATACATATAACCCTTGAAGTTGCGATCCACTGCAAAGTAGCAACGATTTAACGTACATGCATTCTGATCCAGGGGAGTTGAACCCTTTTTTGAAGTGTGGCGAATGCCAAGTTGCCCATCCAAATAATCCAGGAACTACTCACCTACATTTTTGAAGTGTGGCGAATGCCATGTTGGCCATCCAAATAATCCAGGAACTACTCACCTACAACTCTTTAGTACTCTACATTTTTACTTATTCACCTTCGTTATTTGCTGGGGAGGTGCTATAACTGTACCGAACACTGGACAGTGCACGTGCATCTGTAATAGACCACCACATCCTACCAGAATGTAATAACCAAATGCTGATAAGGTTATTGCCAATGGGTACTCGTAGACCCCCATTTTATTGTCCGACATCGGGAAACCTATGTTCATGCAAATGGAAACAATTTACCATCACGAAGAACTAAAAGAAACCGGTCTGACTGCATTAAAATAGAAGAGAGTGGACATCCTGTAGAACCAGATGTTTTCTAGAAAACTACTATTCGTTAATTTTGCATTAGCTCTTGAGGTAATTATGTTTCGCAGTGCAGTCAATCTGTTTGTTTTCGTTGCGTTGTTTTTGTTGCTAACGGATTTCGAAACCGTTCATCTGAACTCGGTTCGCATTACTGATATACCAATGCATGATAATAAACGTGTACTTGCAATTTTTAAATGCAGGAATATTATGGTTTCCGAAGACAAAGGTCCCCGAGGAACTGAGACCTATTTCCTCATTCAATGACTATGGTTTCATATGTTTAGGACAAAGGGTATCGCAGCAAGTTTTGGAAAGTAATTTCACTTTTAACATGGCAATCTGAAAACCCTTATCCACCATGTTACTTCATGATTTGATTCAGGGATTAAGATGTGCTCGATTTTACTGTGAAACGAATTGAAGGGATTTTTTCTCCAAGATGCAATGAACCCCATAAGCCAGCAATTTAACACTTCCCCATCTGTTCAGTTACTCTGCAAGTGTAAACGCTCGTCAACAGCAATGTTCCTTAGCGATACTGCACTTAAGTAAGCTTCAGTTACGACAGACGCATTGTTTCTAAACATCCGACCAACCAAACACGATCGAGTGTCCCCGGATGTGTACATTCCTACGGCCACGCAAGATTACAGAAAAGAGTGAATCCCTCGAGATGTCCCCTTTCATTCTTACCAAAGTGCACCTAAAAAGAGCTGGATTCACAGAGAAATATTAGACAGGCCACCACTGCATACAGGTCAACTAGTACAATCAATCTGCCGACCACTAGCGCATTACATGACATCAGGTACCTAATGAGTTCGGTGTATATTTGATCAGCCTCCAAAATAAATCGTTATACCTGGGCAATTGAAAGAAGTATAATTTCTGAAAATCCAGTATCTTTCCCCTTGAAATTGCTTTTTAATCTGAAAAAGTGGTAGTACAGAAAAGTCATGTTCTAATGGAATTATTTATGTGATGACTAGTCTCAAGGAAACTCTAAAGGGCGTGTAAAGTGGAATATATGAGGGGCACATATTTTGTGTCAATGATTTAGTTATGTGTAATTTTGGTGAACTCGACGCACAAAAATACGTGATCGTTGTCATACTATATCCTGAGTATATTCGCTTACGTTCAAATGTCAATTTTGCGCACAAAGCTAACAGAAAAAAATATAATTGCGATAAACGATCTCTGATGTAGAAACATTCAAGCTAGCAACTTTTCCCTTGTAGTACAATCTGCGCACAATATTTTAGTTCACAGCTGGTGTAAACGCGTGTAAACTGATAAGGGCTGCGAGTAGTCCATTATTCCCTCGATCCTCCACCTCGTGTTATTGAAAGGTGAGGTTTATTACCAAAGTTGTGGACTGCTTTGCGCAATGAACATCCATGAAAAGCCAAGAAACGCGAGAGGATGTTGCATATGTTACATTTACTTTTATGTCCAGAGGTTTGTGGTTACTCAGTTGGTGTTTGTTGGTATTCGACTTTTAGACGAATGTCTTCCCTCTTCACATTTGTGCCGTGATCACCATACGCTTAAAGATCCAATGACGAAAACCTGTTGAGGACAGAAATGTGCAGACATTCCTGTGAGATTTCGAGGATGTTGCGAAGGCGTCTGGACCGGAGACCGACCGATGAAAACTGGCGGCACTCGAAGCCTTCCCCAGACGCCGTGCGAATATGGCCCCGGGTTCGGCCGAGAGGGACCCTCGAAAGGTGGGTTGAGCAGCCGCAAAGAAGGCTCTTTCAGGAGAGTCTGATTCACTAACCGACCGTCAGGAGGCTACGGGACGGTTCAAGGTGGCCAGGATGATAACTGATGAGCGCCAGTCAAAATCCATATGGTTTTGCGATTTTAGTAATTTCGTCAAAATGTTTGAATGTATAAGGTGCATGTTGACGTGTTATCGTAGATAAGATCATCTTGTGGGTAGTTCTACTCATCTCAGACAGTTAAGCAATAGGAAAAAACGGAAGATGTATGGGTTTTGAAATTCTAGTCATGTACGAAAGAGTGCGAAATTGGCGCCGGATAGATGTTTGAGATAAAAGCTTTTACATGGTACGATTTGCGAAGTTATTGTCACACAGGATTCAAATGGAGATGGTAAGATATATCTGTTGAACGATTAGAGATCCTGAAGTGCACACTTCACGTAACAATTTCTAGGACAGTGGTGACGTTTCCCGATGGCTAAATCAACAGCAGGAGCCAAGTGTTAAAAAGTTCAGTTAGGGAAAACTTATATGGAATAAATCAACACTTTGTCGAGAGAGTAAGGTGGACAGAAGAACATCAGGAGTGGAAGTTCCAAGGCAACTGAATTTAGTCCAGTTAGTACGTTACAATGGTAACGTGTAACTTGACCTGCTTGGATCTAGAGTAATGAACTGCATGATAATTTGAGCAGCCAAACATACTGTTTATGATATATGTATACACATACTTTAGTTATTTTGTCAGTTGTAACATGAAGCGCCGTTTCTAAATCAATAGTTAAGATTTGTCGTTAGTCCTCAAAAGAACTTAATATTTCACTGAATACTAGACGAATGTCCATAAACCATCAAGCGTATGTGAGCACAACCATCCCGTTTTGTGTGCTGTACATTTACTTGTATAACAAATGAGCATTGATAGAAAATGCAGACAATCATGCCCTTCGAAACAGATCACGAGCTAGTCACGATTGCTAATTTCAGTCACCTTTAACCTTGTCTGGCGCGTGGGTGTTTGCTTTTCGTAACCACATCCACATTAAACTGTGCGGCCTTAAGACTTTACAAATTATGTTAAGTGAGGTCCAAAATTAGCGAGAGCGTGGATGTGAGCAATTTATTGTGAAGCAGGCTTCATAAGAAGACAAGATTCAGTTAACATGACCGATTCGAGCACCCTGATGCGCCCGCAAATGGCTGTATTATAACCTAAACCGCATTTCACGTCAAGGAAACTCGTGTTCCGCTTAGCTGGAAACGAGGTGTCATGAGAAATC